GTTCGCATTGACGACAAAAGTTTTGACACAATGAGTGACGTAATCAGTAAGTACAGAAAATTTTGTTTTATATAAAGATGAGTGTTGACTATACATATTTTAAATCGCACTAACTGTGACTATTTTTATTTGTGTTGACAATGTATATTCAAACAATCATTGTAATTGTCATGTCAGAACAGTAGCGATCTAAATCTAATGCCATCAAACAGAAAGAAGGATTCCAAACCAATGAAATGTACACACATTTATGAAGTGTTGGTCTTTTTGTGTAACACCATTTGAACTTCTATTCAAAATGGTTTTACGTTAAAAAAAAAAAAGGGATGAAATTCTAACAGAGTTACTCAAACTATTTTTTGTTATAATTAAGAAGAAAAAAAAAAAGAGGATTGGATTTTTACATAAAATTAAATAACTAGAATTTGAAGTTTTACTAAAGAGAGGAAAAGAAGAGGGGAATATAAAACATGAATCTTACTTTTGTGCAAAAATACATTGTGTAATACAACATTAGTAAATATGATACAAATAGTTTTATTTTTATTTAAAGCCGTCCTACTTGCATGGATCCAATGTCAAATCCCGCATTGACGACAAATCTCTAATATCTTCGCATGGACAAAAGTTCCAACACAATGGGTGACGTGAACAATTTTGTTTCATATAAAGGCGAATGTTGACGATACATATTTTCAATCAAGCTGACGATGATTATTTTAATGATTTATGTTGACGATGTATATTCAAACAATCATTGTAATCGTCATGTTAAAACGACCGCAGTCTAAATCTTGAACCACCAAACAAAAAGAACTCCAAACCAATGAAACAGTACAAACATTTATATTGTATAACCCCACACCAATCCTAGAAATTTAAGCACTAACCCTAGTAAAAAGGAGGGGAATCCTCCAAGGCTCCAACCAAGTTGCAGATTTTATTTTCTCTTTCTTGGGGCTTCTTCATTTTTGTTTGCTTCCCCCAAAAACTTTACAATCATAATGAGCAACGTAATCAGTAAAGCAGAAACAATTTTGTTTTATATAAAGACGAGTGTTGACGATACATATTTAAATTTTACTAATAACGATTATGTTAATGATTCATGTTGATGGTGTACATTCAAACAATTATTGTAATCGTCATGTGTAAAACTATTGTGATCTTAATCTGGTGCCACCAAACAAAAAGAAGGATTTCTAACCAATAAAATGGTACACATTTATGAAGTAACAATCTTTTTGTGCAACACCACTTGAACTTTTGTCCAAAATAGTTTCAAGTAAAAAATAAGGGATGAAAATTCCAACAGAGTTACTCAAACTACTTGTTATAATGGAGAGAAAAAAAAAAGGATTGGATTGTGTTTACATAACATTAAACAACTAGAATTTGAAGTTTTAAAAAAAAGAGAAAAAGGAGAAGGGAATACAAACCATGAATCTTACTTTGTAACAAAAAAAACAATTTACATTACGACATTAGTAAATATGATACAAATAATTTTATTTTTATTTAAAGTTGTCCTACTTGCATGGACATCTAATGTCAAATCCGCATTGACGACAAAAGTTCCAACACAATTTGTGACGTAATCAATAAACTACGAACAATTTTGTTTTATGTAAAGACGAGTGTTGGCGATACATATTTTTAATGAAGCTGAAGACAATTAGTTTAGTAATTTATGTTGACAGAGTATATACAAACAATCATTGTAACCGTCATGTCAGAACGACCGCAGTCTAAAATCTTGAGCCACCAAACAAAAAGAATTCCAAACCAATGAAATGGTGCACACACTTAAATTGTCTAACCCCACACAAACACCAGATATTTAAGCACTAACCCTAGTTTAAAGTAGGTGAATCCTCCAACCAAGTTGCAGATTTTATTTTCTCTTTTGGCCATGAGTGTTTGGATCGTTTTCATGGGGGCCTCTTCATTTTTGTTTGCTTCCCCCAAAAATCTTACAATCACAAAGCACTAAAGCAACCACAAAGCACTAAAGCAACCAATGCATGCCACTTCTACTGTTTTGTTCGGCCGGCATGGATGACACCTGCCCCTCAAATGAAAAAAATAAAGAAACACCAAACCATAACCCTAACCCTAACCCTAATTTTCAGTTCCATATTTATCCTCATCATTTTAGTACGTGGGCATTGCACTACAAATTAAAGTTGTCAACTACCAAGAATTAATATAACCAAACTCAGTACGAAAAACGTAAATGACACTGAGAAAATACACATAAGCGCAAACCGTTTGGGATGTTTAAAATTTATTCAATATGATTGATATTTCTATGAAAGTATCGGACAAATCACATAAACATATGAAAAATGGATGAAGTTTAAACTTCACTCCATATCAAAGAAACTCTTAAATTTCGTCGATATTTTTAACATATCGATTAAATATCAAAAAAATTCTTATATTTCGTAGCAACATTTGACATTCTATAAAGTTTCATTTTAAATTTTCATCAGTTTCATTATAAAAAAAAAAACAATATGGATATAGTATTAATATATCCACTAATATTTCCACCCATATCGATATCTTTAAATCCTAACCGTCTGTAGCTGAATTGATTACGACTAATTCATTATTACAGACCGATCTGGAGTTCGATTTCTCTATTCCCTCTACATCGCCTGAGTCAGAAAAATGAAGTGAACTGACCTGGCAGCCCTAAGACAGGTGTCACGAAATGAGGCATGTAGCAGGAACAGAAGGTGGTGCCATGGGTGAGTGTCGCAAGCGTTTCGTAACAGAAAACGTCAGAAGCAAATGCGAAAAGAGGGAGATAAGATTCTTTGAAATGGCTTTCGAGCCGTGAGTCACGAGCGGTGACCGACACATTGGCGTGTACGGTCAAGCAAAGCAAGGAGGAGTGAGAAGGTAGAGCGAGAAACGAGCATGAGATCATCACCCTTAAATTTCGGTTTCGATAAAATTAAGGGTTTTTGGATCTTAAGCTACCAAACCCTATCCCTTCCTCATCCAAACAAAAAGAAATAAAAGAAATTTTTTCCAATTAAATAAAAAACCAACCAAAAATCTTTTGTTATTTTTAATATAATTGCCAAATTTGTATTCCAGTTAATTACCACTTGAAAGTAGTTTCTAAACCAAATTGATACATGCCACTAACAGTAAGTTTAAAATTCAGCTCATATACGTATTCTTCTTTACTATTAAGTAAGATATTTTAGATTCAATTCTCATCAAATGTCAATTTAAATCACATTATTGTAATCCATTATGAAATTTAACTCATTTTCACCTTTTAGTGTAGATAATATCATTTGTTAAAATAATAATAATAATAATAAGTTCGATATTTAATTATTATAACTGAATTATTGTGTGACTTAATTCAAAAATTATAAACACAAACCACCTGATATAAATATATATATATATATATATATATATGTATGTGTGCGTGCGCGCTTGTATGTGATGTGATAGTGCTTATGAAGATGTGTTAGGTTTGAAGATCCCAATAATATGTTGATAGTTAATGTGGTTGAAAGCAATTGACTTTTCATTTGTGTGAGTGAAAAAGCAGAGACACTAAATAAAGTTACTCTCTGAGAATAGGCGGCGCACCTTCGCACGAAAGGATATAATAAATTTTTGAATAAAAGACGCACATGATTATTTAATTTATTTATCATAGGAAAAGAAGCAGAACGGTCTTCCAATCATGAGACAGGTGAAATGAAAACAATACATATGTTTGACTTTTGTCTGGTAAAAAGTTGTTGAAATCTATCGATCATGTAGGACCCATTTAAGTTTTCATCAACCTTAAATTTCGTTACGACCCGTACGTCAAATCGTTACGGAAACAAACTCTGACACAACTACTTACAAAAAATGCATGAGCATGCAAATTCAAAATAGGGTAGCCCTATAGTATAGTAGGTTAACTAATCCTTGATAAATAATTAATCCTTGATAAATAATGAATTGTCATCAATATTAAGCAGAAGAATTAGCACTAATCAAGATTATATATCACCACATAAAATGACCCACCATGAAATGACCATCATGAATCAATGCCACATGCGCGCCAAATTCAATCAACACCTAAAACTTCCACCTAGAAAATTGTGCCCCCTTTCCTCATCCAATGAGGGGACCACTAACACCGTAACCGATGGCTCCGTTAGCTGGGATTTGCCGTGACGCTCAGGGGCGAAAAATAAACCAAAAGTACACCACCAATTAGCATCGTAATAATCGCCCAATTTCTAACCAAACGACGCCGTATTCGTGCTAAGCCGGACCCGTTATTGACTTTGGCCACGCCTGCACGTGCCAACCTTGGCCAGTAAAACGGAAAGGGATCCTCACCGGATTTTTTCCTAGGATTTTAGGAATTTCGTAATTATGATCGTTCATCGTATATCATGCGGTCAAAAATTGTTTCAAAATTTAAAATTAAGTATAAATAATACCAAACAAAAACTAACCCATGATATACGATGAACGATGAACGATCACAATCACGATCACAACCTAAAACAAATTCACATATTTACCACTGAAAGTATCCAGCAATTACACTACCTCCTTATGTACGAATTACATTTTCCATTTCCTACCCTAAACTGTTACGCGAAAAGCAGAGGACTTGCAACTCAAGTAATATAAAACATTTATCACTACACTCGCGGTCTTACGTTCAATCCCATGTCCAACTATCACTTGTACTAAAAAAAATTAATACACAAAAAGTTTTTCAAACTCAAGTTCGATTCACCTAAATAACGAAAATGATATATGTTTTTATAAAAACAGTGTTTCTATCTCCATTCAATTAGAAGATGTTTCAAATTTAACTCACCTAAAAGATAAAAACGATACATATTTTGAGTGAGTCTGATACTTAGTTGTGCATGTCATGAATGCATGGCTGTGTGAGTACATTATAAAGTCTTTGTTAATTAGTTTTCTATATAATTATCAAATCGTTTACCGGGAACGGGAGTCATCAGTTATATCTAAACACCTCAATGGGACTCTCTGTTGTTTGGCTTCTTTCTTTTCTGTTCACATTTCTTTCACTCCCTGATTAACTTTTCCCCATTTTTGATTCTTTCTGAGGGTTGAATGAGATCTGGGCAGTCACTCAAATTTTGGGTAGCTCTATAAATCCTCTCGGATTTTGCCAATATTTTATCTCTCCGTGCAATAAATTCTACCAAACAGCTGAGAATAAAGTGGCATTATCCGTGGAGATTTCTGTTTTCCCCATCTTATTTAATTAAACTGAAAATTTTCGGTGATTGAGAGATCTGAATTTTATCAACCAGATGATGCTGAGTGTAATGTTTATGGTGAGCTGGGTAAACTCTCATGTTTTGTTGTGTTCTTAGCTCAAAGCTAGGTTTTTTTCAGCTGGAAATTCTCAAATTTTGCGGTTTTGTTTCTCTGTGGCAGGTGATTCAATAAAATGGGGAAGAGAAGGATGAAGAATTCTTGATTTCGAGAAATCGAAATCGAAATCCCGCCTTGAAGGAACTGAATTGAGTGAGTGAGGAGAAATCTAAGAACTTAAGAGGTGGGTGGATCCCTCTTAAGGCAGAGGGATCGGAATGGGTGAACAGGGAGGAGATCAAAGTTCTTGCTGTTGGATGCCACCAACTCCTTACAGGCCTATTCTCACCAGACCGGAGACCAAATTGCGGCCGGAAATTTCGACGTCCTCGAGACCATTGGGGGTAGAAGAAATTCAAGAGAATAGATTAGTTATAGACTTGGATCCGGATCCCGCGGAAGAGAGCGGATTTGTTTACCATGGAGCTGGAGTTGGAGCCGGTAGCGGCGTTGAAACTTCAACGGACGCTTATTTCCGCCGCGTGGCACAGTGGAGAGATGTCCCTTGCAAAGAGCTCATGATCCTCGCGGTGGCCTCTGCGAATGATGGGAGCGGTAGTGCAGTGCTGGGAGATACTCAGCGTAAGTGCAACCAATTGAGTTTTAAGTTGTTATTTGTACCACATTTACTAAATCGCAATGAATGCCAGCACATGTGCAGACCCATGCGTATCTGGACCCACAGACCCACGTGGATCTGTGCGTTTGGACCCACGTGCGTCTGGCCCTCTAATCATTAGAGAACGGCTGGACGCACGTGATTTCTTCTTTATTAGGAGAAATTCTTGCATTCGAACTTCTGTACGCGGCACCACTCGCCGCAGCCTATAAGACGACTATCTCTCTCCTTTTGTCTTGTCACGTGATGAGAGATAAAAACACACTAAAGTCTTCCATAACTTTTCATAGAGTTGTTTAGTGACCAATAAATGGAGAGACTTGCATGAATGCTACTTTTTTCCTCTCACGTGAGGAGAGAAGATGCATACGCAAAGGGTACTCGCCTGGTTGCAAGTTGAGCCCCATATAGCTTTGTACTTGATTTTTGCTATGAACTCTAATTTTTACTATCTTACACCACAAGCAAAGCATTTTAAACAAATTCATCAGTCTATTGAGAAGTGAAGAATATAATTACCGTACAAGAAGTAAACTCGGCAGTCACCGAATTTAAGGGCTGGAGAGCCGCCTTAGCATGGATAGTTTCGGGAAGTGTCTACAAACAGCATGAATGTGATAATTGTCCAAACAAGTAAAAACGTTCGAAATGAAAATACTGATAGCAGGCTACATAAGGGGTAGAGTGTTCAGGAATACGATACCTAGAAGATAGTAATGACTGCTAAATACTTGCACTATGCATGATAGAACAAGTAATGAGACTGTTCTCACACACCTCATTTGTCATATATTCTGACTGCAATAATTGAGTTGTGTATTGATGTGTTGTATGAATTTCTGATTTTCGGTAAGAATTTTATCGTGGGGAGCAAATTCTCCATGATTACTACCAGTTTTTTTACAAGATGTCGACTTATGTTAATTTTAAGTGCAACTCTACAAATCAACAACAAAGTTTGTAGTTAGCCTTTTTTTACCTCTTTGATCAGTAGATGAACCGATATTTCTTCTATGCAGATGAATTTTCATTCCCTGACAACCATCCTTATGATCTGAATATTCCACCTCCGACTACAAATGGCCAATTTGCACCTATAACACCAGATAAGTCCATGAGAGTTGACAGTGAACAAATGTATCGAATTCCGAGCTCCAATGCTGACGATGGACAAGGCCAGGAGATAGAAGAGCAATGGGATGCTAATTCTGCGACAATTAATATCATTGATCTGGAAAACAATAAAGATATAGAAAAATCTGCTGTGGATTCATCACAAGCTACTTTCTCCACGCAGCTCCAGGAACACTGCAACCCTGACAAGGAGGTGAACATCAGTATCGACTTGAACAAGACACCACAACCGAAACAAAGAAGGAGAAAGCACAGGCCAAAGGTGATTATAGAAGGCAAGCCAAAAAGAAACACACAGCCTTCTGTTTCTATGGAAAATCCAAAACCCAAAAGAAAGTATGTGCGCAAGAGTACACTCAATAAAAGCACAACTCCTCCACCGCAGGAATCTACAGAGCATATTGATTCAAATAATCTGCAGCCTACAAAGAGATCATGCAGAAAGGCTTTAAATTTTGACGCAGAAGAACCAAGAGATGGAAGTTCCTCAAGCAAGTCTTTACATGTGGGTTCACAATCACAGGAGATGAATGTTGGCACCAATGGAGTTCAAACAAATTCAACCGCACCACACAGAAATGAAGTTGAATTGGTGGCAGATAACACCCAAGCAGGCATAGCCCAAGATCTCATCCGTTCTACAAGCAGAATGCTGAAACATTACTTGTCATTGCCAGACCAACAACCTCCAAGCACACCACAACAAACGAGAGGTTCTACTACATATGTTGATTCCCAAAAGGAGGCTGCAGAAGAAGTAGGACAAATGAGCACTCATAGTGGATACACTGCACAAACCATGTTGGATCGGGACACTAGATCATCCCAACGAAGTGCAAATGATTCCACCCACAGCACAACTACGGTTCTGACAATAGAAGAACAAGCAAAAAGATCAAAGAGAAATTATTCGAGTGCTGTTGAGCAAGAAGATCCTAGGACCAGAAATTTATATGGGGCAAACTATAATAATTTGCCGGCATACTACAATGTGATGTCATGGGTGCATTTTCCATACATATACAAGAAGAAGAGGACTGATAAGGTGCAAAATTCTACCATACCAAGCACCTCGTATCATGTGAATATGGCAGAAAACATATGGAGACCATCGGCAGCTGGCTGCTTGACTCCTGGTCCTCAAGTAAATGCTGGTAATGTTTCAACTGCACTTGAAGAAGTGGGAAATAACCCTCAGGATAGACCGCAAAGTGTTCACAGTTTCTTGCCCTTGTATCAGACAGAGAGGTCAACAAAGAGAAGATCTAGTTGCCCTACAAGGGTTCGCAACTTGGCTTCACTAACCAGAACACCAGAGCACATACTGCACAGAACCTGTCTCGCCAATCAACCACCCACTGATGGCAATGGTCAAAGAGTGAATCAATTTGACAGATCTCAGACATGCATTGACGCCCTAGTCACAGACGTGGGTGCAACACTCGCAAAAAGGAAGAGGACAAAGAGAAATCCACTTTCCAGTTCACAACGAGGTCTTCTAATATATAAGAACCAGCCATATTTTGCCACAGCATCAGGTATGTCAGTTTTCGTGTGAAGGTTGTTTCCAACTCCGCCAATCATCTTTGGTAATTTTACTTGATCATCAATTGCAGGTGTTCCTCCACAAGTACCATTCGAACAACTGCTTTCTGCTATTACTGAGCACTTCAAATGTTTGGACATTAATAGAGAAAATAGCAGCAGATTTGCCTATCACAGGTATAATGTCAAATCTTCTTACAAGGCACAAGATCAAGAGCACAACGCACTGGTTCTTTATAGAAGAGATGGCACTGTTGTACCATTTGATGGTTCTTTTGATCCAATTAAGAAACGTAAAGCGCGACCTAAAGTTGACCTTGATCAAGAGACTGATAGAGTATGGAAGCTTCTGCTGGAAAATATAAACAGTGAAGGTATTAATGGCACAGATGAGGAGAAAGAAAAATGGTGGGAACAAGAGCGTAAAGTGTTCCGTGGACGTGCAGACAATTTTATTTCACGAATGCATCTTGTGCAAGGTACAAATTCTTCCATTTTCAGGGGAATTCATATTAAACAAGTCATTTCAAATCTTATCTCATGCAATACAGTTCTACATACTGCAAGCTACTCAAGGAAAAAGAATATGCATTCTGTACGTTCATGTACTGACCATCATGCTAGTCGCAAGCACCTTGGGAACCCTTATGCATATACATACAAATACAATGCTATTCTTCAATTTTAGATATAAGTTACAACTTCATATTCTAACAGTATAATATTACTTTAACAGGAGATAGACGCTTCTCTCCGTGGAAGGGATCAGTTGTGGACTCAGTGGTTGGAGTTTTCCTTACTCAAAATGTTTCAGACCACCTGTCTAGGTAAAGTAACGTTTCTATATACAACTAGAGAATTTGACATTAGATAAATTACAAGTGAGAAATTCTCTAATATGTACCTCCTTACAGCTCTGCGTTCATGTCAATGGCTGCACATTTTCCCCTGAAGTCAAGGAGCAACGAAATATCATGCGATGAAGAAGTTGCGAGCTTGGTCGTAGATGAACCAGAAGTATGCATTAGTGAGAATTCAAACCAGCCAGGTTGTGACTGGAGTTCCCTAACGTTCCATGACGCTGAGCATAGTGAAGAAAAAGTTGTCAACGGACACAATAACTCTGGAAGCACTACTGAGGGTGTTATCTCAACAAATGAAGCACAATGCAAGCTTTCACATCCATCTGAACCTGGTCCGGGAATGTATCCTAACTCATTAATGAACAGGTCAACCACCAAGATCACAAGAACAGAATTGTACCTGCAGGAGGATATGAGAACGTACAATGGAGTTTCATCTCAAAATTCTGTGGATTCTTCAACTTCACAAACTGTGGAAAAGACAGGATCGTGCGAGAGCAACTCAGAAACAGAGAATCCGCCTAATAGATGTGAAAACAGCAGTTTAGATCACTCCACTTCGTTTGTGGAGCTTTTACAGAGGGCCGAATCAAGTATGCTGCATTACAGTCTCGGGAGCACCCATATGTCCTCTCATGACATATCAAACTGTGGAGGTTACCAACCTGCATGTGTGCAGCATAATGACCAAAGATGTGAGATAAACAGAGAAGCATCCCTTGAGCCTTCCAGTAACTGTTGTTTGAATCTAACCCCCAACCCAGGAGTACAGCAAGTTGAGTACTTTGATTTGTACGGAGAAGTAACCCAGTCTTCTTATGCATCCAAAAATAAATGTGAAGATAGTCCGAGTGAAAGAAGTGCACTAACATCAGAATCTCCCAGTCAAGATACAACACATAACAAGCTGACAGTGAATGTTCAAGAAGCACCAAGATGTTCCGGAAATTCATGCAATAACATTCAGGTAGGTAATAATATGGCCCAGTCTCAACTCGGGTTGGCTGGGAGCTCAAATAATGTTGACATACATTCTCAGGAGCAAAACAGTAAGATACAGCAAAGTTGCTTGAACATTTCTGGAGGGACCACAGATGTTATGCAGAAGGCAACAGAGTTGGGTTCAAATGAGCAGAGTAATTCAGTTAACAAGGAGTTCAGTAGTACGAATGCTGCTACCTCCAACACAAAGAACAGAAAAGCTGGAAAAGAGAAAAAAGATCAGCAAGATTGGGACAAATTAAGGAAACAAGCAGAATTAAATGGAAAGAAAAGGGAAAAGACAGAAAATACAATGGATTCCTTGGACTGGGAAGCCGTAAGATGTGCAGATGTTAATGAGATCGCCCAAACCATCAAAGAGCGGGGGATGAATAATATGCTTGCAGAACGAATCAAGGTAAAAATAACATTAAATATAATTCTCAAATTTGTCAGTGTGCCCGCTAGACACAGAAAACCTTTTTAGATCAGCTGATGTTTATTGAGAAATTTGTGCAGGATTTCCTTAACAGACTGGTCAGAGAGCACGGTAGTGTTGATCTTGAATGGTTGAGGGACGTTCCACCTGACCAAGCAAAGTAAGCTTGCTGAACTATCCAACCCATTTCTAATTATAAAAAATAAATTCCCAAAAACCAATCGCTTGCCTCGCATGTCATATCAAAATGCTACAGCTGTGTTCTACAGTATATGAATATGATGTGCTGAATATGAATATTCTTACGTGGTTTGCATTCCATAACTATGTGATATGTCACAGAGAGTATCTGCTGAGCTTTCGCGGATTGGGGTTGAAAAGCGTGGAATGTGTGCGGCTTTTGACACTGCACCATCTTGCTTTTCCAGTAAGTATATATTAAAAATATGACTGACCAGAATAGATGCAACAGATCTCAATATATATAGTTGAATCTTTGAAGGTGGACACAAATGTTGGACGTATAGCTGTACGGCTTGGATGGGTACCCCTTCAGCCCCTGCCTGAGTCATTGCAGTTGCATCTTCTTGAACTGTGAGTTTTATGAGCCACCATGTTACTTTTGCAAAGCATTTCCAATTGGCACTGGAGCTGATCTTTCTGTCCTTTATAGGTACCCAGTGCTGGAATCCATACAAAAGTATTTGTGGCCACGACTGTGCAAGCTTGACCAAAGAACATTGTAAGCACAAAATCAGATAAAATCTTCACATTAGTACACTATATTGTATTTATAAGCATGATTTTGGAAGAGTTGCTCTTCCATGAAACTGGATACTAATTGGACAAAAACATTTCAATTTTTGTGAACAGGTACGAGCTGCATTACCAAATGATAACATTTGGAAAGGTATGTCATCTTATTATTTATGTGAAGTAATTTGTCTTCACATTCAGACTAAGAACGAATAAAATATCATCCTTTGACACAGGTCTTCTGCACGAAAAGCAAGCCGAATTGTAATGCATGCCCGCTGAGAACAGATTGTAGGCATTTTGCAAGCGCATTTGCGAGGTTTGCAAATCAAGTGTTCCATCCTTTGCATCTAAAAGCCACAATCTCCATTATAGTTCCGATAAATAACATTCGTTTGTCCACCACCAATTAGATCCCTTTTGGATGTTAAGACTGATAAGTAAAAGATATAGGCATAAGCAACTGTATAAATAAAAAATTCATTGTGACTCACTTAAGGCATATTAACGGTTGTATTATCGATTTATTAACATAAGGAAAAAATCTTAAGCATGCACGTAGTTAGAACAACATGGAAGGTTTCATGAATCATATTATAATGTAATCAAAATTGTGAACAAGGAACATCAGATATCCTACCGCAAATCGGCCAATAACAATTCATAGAACGTACTTTACTGTAAGATTATCTGTTAAGTTACTTACAAAGAATGTTATGCAGTGCAAGGCTTGCGCTGCCGGGACCAGAGGAGCAAAGCATAGTGAGTGCAACTGAAGACAGAACTACCCATCCAAACCCTGCTGGTGTCAACAATAGAATGCCCTTGCCCTTCCCTCAGGCAACATACCAGCAATTGGAAGCAAGCCAGAAATCAGAAGTAAAATCTACATTTGGTCATTGTGAACCTACAACGTTCCAGCAATTGGAAGCAAGCCAGATATCTGACGCAAAATCTGCAGTTGGTAAATGTGAACCTATTATTGAAGAACCAGCATCACCAGAGCCAGTGTGTACACAGATATCAGAGGACATTGAGGACTTCTGTGAAGGTCCTGACGAAATTCCAACCATTAAACTTAACATTGAAGAGTTCACTCAGACTTTGCAAAATTATATGGAAAAAAACATGGAGCTTCAAGAAGGTGAAATGTCAAAAGCTTTAGTCTCTCTAACATCAGAAGCTGCATCATTACCAACTCCCAAGCTTAAGAACGTGAGCCGACTGCGAACTGAGCACCAAGTGTAAGTAGGAGCTTTCATCTCTACAGTAATTCAAGAAATATCTAGCATGCAAGATTTTGGTAAATGGATGTTTAAGTAAGCAATGGAAGATGAAAGATAAAAACGTGGCCGGGTAAGGTACCCAATAAAAATCATGCATCGTGCTGTCAAAAACTATATTGATTGTGTATCCAAAAAACATATCATCTTCCAAAATGAAGGAAAACATTTGGAACAAAAGCCCTACAACTTTCTACATAATGATGATTTTCATAAATATAATCACATAAAGCCAAACATCTTATATGCTACTGATTCTTGTTCTTCACAATGCAGCTATGAACTTCCTGATACGCACCCTCTTCTAGAAATGGTCAGTAATATCTATATATCTATCTAATAACAATGTTTAACAACCCCTTCTTTGGGTTTTTATGAGTCCAATAAGTACCTATCCCGAATTTAATATCTGCCTTTGCTTAATACAGTTGCATATGGATAAGCGAGAACCTGACGATCCGTGCAATTACCTTCTGGCTATTTGGACTCCAGGTATGCAGACAACAATAAAAACCAACTACCAAAATAATTCTTAAATCTGGTTATCCAATATTCCTCTTTCACCCCCAAGTTCTCAACCCTATTTTGAGAGTTTAGTCTAGAACAATTTTCCAAAGTGGATGGCATAACCTTATGAAACTCAACAGTCCCCAATGTCACAGTGACTACTATTATCATTTGAACCCCGAATAAAAACTGGTTTAAGTTCAACACTAGACACATGCATAGAGCATCTCTATGCTTCTTGGGTGGGGTACTGCCCACAGTTAATACATATACTCTTTTTCTATATGTTTACTAGGCAATTCCACTAAATGCCTTGATGTTCATACCAGGTGAAACTCCAAATTCCATTCAACCACCAGAGAAAAGGTGTAGTTCTCAAGAACTTGGCAAATTGTGTGACGATATGGAATGTTTCTCATGCAACAGTGCACGGGAAGCAAATTCACAAACAGTCCGAGGGACTCTCTTGGTAAGAATATGCTAAACGACACTAGTATGAAAACCATGAATAACTGATAAAGCGAACTAAATACTTGTCACACCAATAGAAGTAAAGACAACAATGATGAGTGGTTACTTGTTCTGATCATGAACAGATACCATGCCGAACAGCAATGAGAGGGAGCTTTCCACTTAACGGAACCTACTTTCAAGTTAATGAGGTGAGATACAGTTTCATTCAGCTTAAGGTCTTTCACATCCTTAAGGCATCTGTTTCACGTTCAGGTGAAATTGATAACAAATACTGTCCAATGTAGGTATTTGCTGACCATGATTCGAGCATTAACCCAATTGATGTTCCAAGGGCTTGGTTGTGGAAGCTATACAGGAGAACAGTGTACTTCGGAACCTCGATACCAACAATATTTAAAGGTATAGATTGTAAAATATTATGCTTTGATCTGTTTTTAAATGTGTCTAACAATAAAATTTAAAATACTCTTCTTCTTCTGGCCAGGGTTATCAACACCAGAAATTCAGCACTGCTTCTGGAGAGGTATGAGAAAATGTCACTTACGCATTCTATGTGATCCTAGCAGTCTTCAAATGGTTATATGTATGCACAAAGTGGCCATTAGGGTATTGTTGTTGAATTATACACCCATTCAAAACCTTATACTTGTAGGAAAGAAACATTAGGACTACTTCCCTTCAACATTCCAACACCCACTGCAAACCTTATACTTGTAAGAAAGGGACATAAGATCTACTTCCCTTGGAATGTTGCAATTCTAACATCTTTACCCAAGGAGCTAAGGATATTGTAATATCTTCCTCCTACAACTACCTAAGACACTTCATTAGCGTTCTGTTGGTTCGCACCAAGAATGTACTAAGACAAGCATGAACAAGATTATTTTGTACCTTACATAAAACTAATTGCTTCTTAGTAGATTAAACTTTCCTACCTCAAAATGACAAATGCTGAACTTGCCCAAGAAAGGGATCTACGGATACAAAGACTATGTTTACAACAAACTGGAACGTAAAGCATCTTATGGCTAAACTAATAGCAAAATCTGCTCTATTGACTTAATCTTGTGGCACTAACTGCCTCTAGGCAATTTCATTGCAATCTCTGTTTGTTCAAAAGTGCTGGTGTTTTTGCAGGATTTGTCTGCGTGAGGGGATTTGACCAAAAGACGCGGGCACCGCGTCCATTAATGGCACGACTGCACTTCCCAGCCAGCAAGTTGGTCAAAACAAAAGATAAGAGAGAGGAGTAGCCACCCAGAAGTCTCAAAGCAAGTCTATAGAGCAGCACACAGCCCACATTGAGCCACCCACAAGTTTCAAAGCAAGTCTATAGAGCTGCACATACCCCGCATTGAGTGGCAAAGCATTCAAAAGTTGTAAATTGGCTCGTGTAGTAAAGAGTCGAGTTCTAGTTTAGTTGTTTGCTCAATTGACTCAGAGGGCATTTAGCCATTTGTGTAAGAACGGCCAGCATAACCGAACGAAACCATGCGGCTTTATACACTAGTTAGTTTCTTGAGCAAATTTAGTTCAAGGTTGTGAGCTTAGCAGTCAAAGATAGATAAAGATAGCTCAAGCTGGTGCAAAGTATTCCAACAGTTTTTTTTTTTTTCTTTGTGAGCAACAAAGTTTCGCTAAAATTGACACTCTGAACACACTAAACATACTGAAAAACGGAGGATAATATGTCCACTAAATACCAAATCCAGCCAAGTAGCAAACATGAATAAACTGTTCAAACAACATAATCCAGCCCCCCAAATCAAAATAAATATCAAAAAATGGAAACTCTTTTTAACTCTGTAGGGACAGAAGATCTAAATCTGATTTTATCTAACAGAACGTCCAACCCCTCCCCCACATAACCAGCAGAAATCCTTCTATTTCTTTCTAATCACAGTACCCAAAAAGTGACCAATACTCCACACCTCAATAGGATTTCAACCTTTGTCCCGCCGCCAATGCTTCTCAGCAAATATTACAGTACGGATAAAGAATAAAGGTGATGTGCACTTTCAGCTTCGCTCCTACATATCATACACCAATGGCAAGAAACGAAAACATTGGGTCCTGTTCTCTCAAGGAAATCCCAAATATCTACCCAACGAGAGCAATATTTCATGAAAGAACGCGAAACCCGAACCGTGGGAGGAGCTATAGAAACCAGGTGCAATCAAAATGACATTTCCTAATGATTGAAGTGTACAAAGCTGAGGTTCCAATCATAAACCAATTAATATCAGAGAGATCCAACTCCTTATAAGCTCTTGCACGATTTCTTAACTTTCCGCTGTAGCACAATTCTTGGCATCCTCACAGAAAGCTCCGGCACTCGCGAGTCATTTAGATTTCTACAGAAGCCAAAACCTAAGCAATTTGGGGAAGAGTTTACTAATACTCACATTCCTCCCAAAACCTCATTCCGTAGCCTTTTGTCTCCAAATGATATCTTCTCTGAACACTATTAACTCCTCAAAATATAATCCTAATTTTGCCCTCTCACTTCCCCCTTCTTCATTCAAACAGTTTTCTTCTTCTAACAAACTCATCCCCTCAATTCTCCTTCCACTCCAATTTCGTCTTCTTACATCGAAAACCTCATTCAAATCCCTGCGAACCTTGTTCTTCTATATTTCCCCACCAATGGAGAATTCCTGATACTTAAAAATTTGCCCTAGCTTAAAAAATTCCTCAAATTTTAAATTCGAGAAGTTTCAGATTTATGAAACATTTCCTAAACTTCTGATGCTTAAAAATTACTCCTAGATTGAAATTTCCTCGAGTTTTAAAATGGAGAAGCTTCAGATCTATGATTTTTTTTCTCTCGAGATTATTCAATCAAACAGGCTATGTATTACTACCGGACTCAAGTTCCGAATCTTCAACAGAGCGATCAACGGTGACATCTTCGAAATCGATACAATTGAACATGAGCAAGCAAGTTTCAAATCGCTAAAGATGCAGAGAACGAAAAATGAAATCGAATGCAATTACAGAGAAAGAAAATCAACTACGATAAATCGAATCGAAGCGTACCTTTGGATTTGAATCTACTTGTGAGCCGTGATAGGTGGATCGTAGATTTGAATAGCTCTCTCTCTCTCTCTCTCTCTCTCTCTCTCTCTCTCTCTCTCTCTCTCTCTCTCTTTAACGCTGATTAAGATGCAGAACATATGAAATCGAATGTGATTGCAGAGAAAGGAAATCGACTACGACAGTATCGAATCGAAGCATACCTTCGGATTTGTATCTGCTTGCGAGCCGCGAAGAGATGGATCATGGATTTGAAGACTGAAGAGCTTTCTCCCTCTCCCTCTTCAGTAGCAGATACGAAGGGGTGGGGGGAAGAGAAACGCTCATTGCCGCCTTACCGCCATTTTCCTTTTCGGTTTCCCTCCCAAATTTCTCATCTTTCTTTCCTTTCGTGGTTTTAAAGTGAGACGAGTTACGTGGCGAGCTGTGGTCTGTTGTTGATTTACTCGATTGAGTTGTGTATTGCTCGCGCATACACACGGTTATTTGATCTAGTAAATATTTATTAATTTTATTTTGTATTATAATATTATGTTTATATTTTTTAGACCTTGAAAGAAAATTGTTACATTAGAGTGAATCGAATTTTAGATTTATTATATTTAATTTAGTATCACACTATTTTTTATATTTTTATAAATGCTCGCGCATGCACATGTTGTCAGTTATTTGATCTAGTAAATATTTATTAATTTTATTTTTATTATAATATTATGTTTATATTCTTTAGACCTTGAAAGAAAATTGTTACATTAGAGAGAATCGAATTTTAGATCTGTTACATTTAATTTAGTATCACACTATTTTTTTTTTATATAACATAAGTGAATTGGTAATATCACATTATGTTATGCACTAAAACAAAATATTTCGGAGAGTATTTGAATTGTACAAAGAATTTCATTTTCCTTTGGTTAGTTAGTTTATTTTCTAATAATTATACAATAATTTCTCATAAACGAACTCTCGCTTAGGCGTAGCCAAATTGTATAGAGCGTATTTACGTGTGTCTTCTATGTATTCAAGTTTAAATATTTACTTTTAATTTAAATTATTTTAAAGTATAATAAGAAAAACTTCCAACTACTTTCAACTTATAAGAAAGAGTTGTGCTTGTTAACTACACTGTTGTGCATTGGATCATCAACGATGATTAATCCTAAAATTGTTGATTTCAAATATAAATGGAATTATCAGAATTCAGTGAACGTCTATTCTTTAAATAAATAAAAATTTAAAATTAAAAAAAAAAAACACTATTTAAGGATGATAATTAATGTGCAAGAGATATTATCATCAATAAAACATACTAACATGTTATTGGTATATTTTTTTGTTCTTTTAAAAATGACGCTACTGGTGACGAACCACGATTATCCATTTCTTCTAAGCCCAAGGAGGCTAGTTAGGAATTCACCCTACTCGTGGCCACGATCAACTTTGATGTTTCACCAAACTCTCATTCTTGTAAATTATTCATGCCACTTCGGAAAAAGAAACGTGAGCTTGTCATCATTTTATATTATAACATTTAAATTAGCAACACCAATCGCACAATATTACTATCACGTCACGCCAAAGAATATGAATGCTTAAACACAATAAACGTAGTGAATGGTGGATTACACTGGTGATTAGGGTCTTATTCTTCAACTCAGTAAATCTCGAGTTCAAACGCTCCTTCCTCACTTTAGTATTGATTAGTATATATAAAATATATATAATAAATATAAAAAGAATTGCATTAGATTGTGCAAATATTTTGACGTGAAAGTTGCAAGTGGCCATCGACATGATATATTTTTTTAGTCACAATCGTCCCCGCAATCAAGTTGAGGCAGGCCAAGCCACTATTTGATTTGCAATTGGTTGATCAACGTTTACAACGTTTACCCTGGTTGTGCGATTCCAGGGTGTCCTTCGCTAGATTGAGCTATATGCAGGGTGGCAAGGGACTTCACCACTCTCACATGAGTCACATTGTAATATGTGCTTCTTTATTTAGATTATACTCTAAGTTCATGAGATATCGATATTTTATCCACTTATTATAACGTTGGATTAGCAACACAATTTTTACGGTGTTATTATCACACTAAAGAATAAGAACGCTTTGAAGGGAAATAACGTAACGAGTTACATTAAATCATGCAAATATTTGGAATATAAAAGAAGAAACGGTCGCATTGGTCTCGTAACCTACGCTGCTGTCGTTTCTAGCAACCAAATCGTTTATTTCACGTCTTTCTTTTCTAATATTTGTTGGGATGCTCGCAATGATCTTGGACTCGATTCATTAGAGTACTTAAGCACCGCCACTATTAGCTCTGCACTTGGCTACTCAGCATCTACTGTAGACACAATACATAGTACCAATTTGTGTGGTTCCAAGTGTCGGCATTCAATTGATGACACACCCCGATCTATAATGTCTACTAGGACTCCGAATCGAGCTGTGTTGGCCGCCACCTGGAAGGTGACGAAGCCATAAAGTGATGATAAGGAAAGATGCGAATAAATTTAAATAAATAACAGAGTGCACTGTGCGTGGGTATGAACCCAAATCACACGTGATGTCAGAACTTAGTCAAGTACAGCAATGTAGGTATAAACCATACCCACAAAAGTAGCCACCTTAACAGGGACATGCCACGAATCCTCGTCGATAAGGAACTTTGCTACTAGAACCTGGAGGGGCGCAAAACATAAAATGTGAGTGGGCGAAAATAAAGTTTTTCAAGAATATCTCATTTATCAACATTCATAACCCCTCGCTGAAAAACCTGTATACTTTCCCAGAAAATAATTTATATAACCATATATATCAGCAAATATCTCAAATCACAATCCTTTAACACTTTTAAGAAAATATGACATGCATACATATACATGAAATATATGAATTAGTATTTGATGCATATATATGAAATGGTGATGTGGACGCACAGATGAGTATCAAGTGAGTTTATATTGTTTATATGAAATAATGACGATGTGATTTGTGTTGAGAGCTCATAACCTGCACCCCTGATGTCAGTGCTTATATTATTCATCCCGCACCATACACTCACCTTGGATCCAAGTAGGTGCATGTCGTATAGACCAATAGAGGGTTCCGACATGTCGTACAGACCATGAGAGGTGGTTCCGATTGTAGGTGTCTTTAGATTATTATACAGCTGTTGATGAGAAGCACTAGAGCGTATTCTTACACCATTCTTGTCGTACAAACTACTTCAGGTAGTTCCGATTTATGTGCAGAGTAGTGCCGTACAGGTCACAGTTGGTGACTCCTGTTGGATTGGATATTGAGCTATAGAATTAACCGTACAGGACCAGCTGCAGGGTCTCCGGTTGATTTATCATTTCACCTGATTTATATTGATGCATCCATATTATGTTTCGAATTGTAACATCTCACATTGTCCAGGGGAATGATCCTTAAATGTATATTCCTATCTCTACCTAGCATGAGGCCTTTTGGGAGCTTATTGGCTTCGGGTTCCATCAGAACTCCGAAGTTAAGCGAGTAGCGCGCGAGAGCACTCCCATGATGGGTGACACACCGGGGAAGTTCTCGTGTGAGTTTCCATAAACAAAACTGTGAGGGTGTGGTCGGGGCCCAAAACGGACAATATCATGCTACGGTAGTTGAGCGGGCCTGGAAAGTGATCTGCCCCAGACGGGGATGTGATAATTGAGATATGCAGGGCAGCGAGGAATTCAACTACCTTTTATCGAGTTTTAGCTAATTGAATCATTAAAAAAACCTAATTAGGTCATTAACAAATACCAAAGAATTGACTTAAAAAATCCATAATAACAAAATATATTGTCAAAATAAAAAGAGGAAATTGTTGTTCACATACTCATTTAAAAAAAATCCATAATAACAAAAGAAACTGTCAAAATAAAAAGAGGAAAGTGTTATTCACACACTCATTTTTACTTCTCACATATATTTGTTAATTTTTTGTCATTGATCTTCTTCAATTCATTTGATCCGATGATCAAAGTTGAGAGATATGTGTGAGAAGTAAAAATGAGTGCATTATAAGTAAAATTTGGTGTGTAGATAACACCACCCTATAAAGAATAAAAACGCTTAAAAGGGAAATAATATGAAGAATTACATTAATCATGCAAATATTTGGAGATAAAAAAACAATAGATAGCCACATTGGCCTGGTAACCTATGTTGTTGTTGTTTCTAGAAACCAAGCCTTTACTATCACGTCTTTATTTTCTAAGATTTGTCGGGAAGCTCGCAATGATCTTGGACACGATTCATTGAAATACTTAAGCATCGCCACTATTTGCTTTGCACTTGGCTACTCAGCGTCTGCTGTAGACACAATACTTATTACCAAATTGTGCGGTTCCAAGTGTCATCGCTCAATTGAGATATGCAGTGTGGCGAGGACTTTGACCGCCTTTTATCGAGTTTTAACTAATTGAATCATAACCTAATTGGTTCATTAAGAACACCAAGCAAAGAATTAAAAAAACACCCATACTAACAAAATAAATTGTCAAAATAAAAATAGGAAAATGTTATTCACACAAACATTTTTACGTCTCACATACTCTTATTATTTTTTATCATTAATCTTTTTCAATACATTTAATCAAACGGCTAAAAATAAGAAAGATACGTGAGAAGTAAAACTAAATGTATATATAACACTATCCTATAAAGAGACAAGGTGCAGTGAATTGAACCCCACCTTTCCAAATTCTGATGTACCAAAATTAAAAAACGCATGTATCTCAACATAAAAAAGTTGATAAAATCACTAGATCCACTACCTAATTGTCCTAACAAAACCCAATAATTAATTGCCCAAAACCCAACTAAACAGTCTTAATCACGGACAAAAAGAAAGAGAAAAATTCTTCGAGCCCAGCGTGTGAAGGAAAAAAAAACCTTTTAATTAAATTAAAAGAAAAATAAAAGTTAAAAAATTAAATTAAAGAATAATTACGATTACACCACCGAATGAAACACCACCGCTTTCGCTTTTTCTCTCTCCGACAGTGGAAATTCTAGAGAGAGAAACTCAGACCTTCTCTGTGGAGTCCTCTGAGTCCTCAAACCTTCATTTTTTTCAAAGATGGCGGGTTTAAGAATTTCTAGGGTTTTGTGACGAACCGATTAGTCCCAAATCTCGATGGAAATGCCCGGTAGGAGATCCAACTACACGCTTCTGAGCCAAGTTCCCGACGACCAAGCGGCGGCGTTTTATGAGACGGAGAGCAAGAACAACAAGGGGAAAGGCGACAGAGGGTTCGATTGGGAAACCGGAGCCGATTTCCGGGCGAATCAACAACCGAATCGGGCCGGGAACCCGTACTCGTCAGCCGGGTTGCAGAGGCAGTCGAGCGGCAGCAGCTTTGCCGAGAGCTCGATTTCCGGCGAGTACTACCCTCCGACCCTATCCACCGCCGCGGTCAGTGAGATCGACGGGTTCGGGTACGTGCCGGACGATGTGTTCAAGGTTAGTGGTGGAGGGGGTGAATTTCGAATGAAAGGTGTGGATGGAGCTGTTACGGCCACTGGTGGCGGCGGCGGTTCTTCTTCAGGGAAGAGCTGGGCTCAGCAGACTGAGGAGAGTTATCAGCTGCAGCTGGCTTTGGCTCTTCGGCTTTCATCGGAGGCTACATGCGCCGATGATCCTAACTTCTTGGATCCAGTGCCGGATGAATCGGCGTCCAGGACGTCCGGCTCTGTTGATGCCGTTTCGCATCGGTTTTGGGTAAGGTTTATTCTGCTTTCTATGGCCAATCGATATTGTTGAGGTGCTATGTTTCATCAGTTGCATGGTTTGCTGCCTTGCTTTGTTAATTGAGTCGGTCTATATATATATATATATGCTTCTTTGAGCTGAGTTCTTAGCTTATTGTGTGGAAAATGTTGTAGACTGCTTAATTATCAATGGAATGGCTGGAGCAATTTCGGGTTTTTTGTGAAGACATTATGCATTGCTCAATGGCATTTGAATTCATAAGCTGCGTTATCTCATTATTGCTCTACTTTTTACATAACTCGAGTTAAATTTCCATTGCATGGCCGAACAATGTTGTTAGGAATGAGATCTCATTGGCCTTCCAAACACCGGGTTTGAATTTATGCACGCCATTTTTGTCCCAATCCTATCTGAATCCTATTGAAGAACTAACCTTTATCTCAAATATCCAATTATTGCATTCTTTCACATGCTTCACATCAAACAAGAAAAGAATGTTTCCGATTGATTAGATTTTGTTTACAATATAACGTATTGGTTGAGCAAGCAACTGATAACTGAACAATGTATGACCTCAGGTTAACCACTTGGGCAGTGCTTACATTGTATGATGTATTCTATTTCTAAAAAAAAAGGTGTTATGAAAACTGATTGATCCTATGTCAGATTGCATCTCCGTTTATGAGAGAACATCGCTAAAGCAAAACTGATCTACTAGAGTCACAAAACTGTTATGAAAGAGAAGATAATTGGTAATGAATTTGGTAATATGCTGCATCTTTTGGTCTGACCTTACAGTAACTAGGAAACTAATAAGTTCCTGTTGAGGTTGCCAATGAATCGGGATTCACACAGTATAATCGGTTGTCATGGAAGTTAGGTTAATGTAATAGCTATAACTGTAGTATAGTAATATGTATACGTGTACATAGGTAGGGACAGAGGAGTTTTCTCTTGTAACTGTTGATTTTTTTTTAGAAGACTTTTGTAACTGTTGATTAAGTGAAATGATGTTATGAGAACATTACAATTTACATGTCAGATATCTAACAAGAGATAATTTATTCCATTTTCTTTCTTCCCAACCCAAAATTTTTCAGAAAGCTAATGGAGTTTAAGAATTGCTTTTGAACAACACTGTTCGTACAAATGGTTTGTGTTTTGTGGTGATAACTGTATTAATCCTTTCCTATTGATATGATGTGCAACAGGTGAATGGCTGTCTGTCATACTTTGACAAAGTGCCTGATGGATTTTACCTAATTCATGGGATAGATCAGTATGTATGGACTGTGTGCACTGATCTGCAAGAAAATGGTCGTATACCATCAATTGAATCATTAAGGTCTGTTGATCCTGGCATTGGTTCAAGCATTGAAGTGGTTTTAATTGATCGACGTAGTGATCCCAGTCTAAAGGAGCTCCAAAATAGGGTTTTAACCATTTCCTGTACTTGCATAAATACAAAAGAGATTGTAGATCATCTGGCAAAGCTTGTGTGCAGTCGCATGGGGTAAGTCTTCTGAATCTTCTGTCCATTTCTTTCGACATCTATGTCTGCCATTCATATGTAACTGAATTTTATTGCTATCACAAGGGGTTCATCTTCCGTAGGAGAGGATGAAATTTTGTTGAAATTTTGTCCATATGGAGGGAGAGCAGCGATGATCTGAAAGATTGCTTAGGATCTGTAGTTGTTCCAATAGGCAGCCTTTCTGTTGGCTTATGTAGACATCGTGCCTTATTATTCAAAGTAAGGCTCCTCTATAATTTGATGTATTTACTTTCCTTGAAAGAAGTGTATTTAGCTTGGTAATTGTTTATTTGATAATAAATAAACAAAATTTGTTGTTTTTTCTTATTGTTAGTAATATGAAGTTTTCTGCTTCTGGTTTGAAGGCTTAGTTTGATAAAGAACACTGAGAAATTTAACCTTGACATATATACTAGTGGCAATCTTTGTCTGTTAACTACTGTTCTTCTGATCCATAAGTTAATATTATTCTTTGTTCATTTGAGTACAGTATGATACTCACAAGCTACATGTCTATCTTTGAAGGTTCTAGCTGACACAATTGATTTACCTTGTCGAATTGCCAAAGGCTGTCAATATTGTACAAGGGATGACGCCTCCTCTTGTCTTGTCCGGTTTGGGTTGGACAGGTATGCTATTTTTTTATCTATTGTCTCTATCAATAGTTTGAATTAGCAATGCAGTTTACTTTTAGAACTGCCTGGTGCATAACTGCAAAATTATTCAAGTTACACTTCAGTAAAAAGTTATTCATCATGTGTATCTGTTTGAATTTCTTTGTCTATGCCTTTAGTTTTCTGTCCTTCGTCAGCCGTTGCCACCTTCCTGAACAAGCCCGAGCTGTTCGCCCTTTGTGTTCAAAAAATTATATAGGAAAACGAGCATGGTCAAATTAGAGTTAGAGAGAATATTTCTCTATTTGGAGAATCAAGTGTGTCCCAAATTTCATTTCCATGTTATCAAACTGGTGGAAACATCTGATATGGCGTATTTGTTTCACTTCAGGGAGTATTTAGTCGATTTGATTGCAAATCCAGGCTACTTGCGCGAGCCTGATTCCTTGCTCAATGGCCCATCATCCATCTCAATTTCTTCACCTCTGCGCTTTCCAAGACTAAAACCAGTTGAACCTACCATTGATTTCAGGTTACTGGCTAAACAGTATTTCTCAGACTGTCAATCGCTTAATCTTGTGTTTGATGAAGCTCCTGCAGGTAATTCTTTGATTGTCAAAGCCATGATATATAGTATATATTTGCAACAAAAAAAAAAAAAAACAAACACAGAAATGCTGATAATGTATATAGAATTGGTGTTGTATGAACAATTTATTAATATGATCAATTGTTGATTTGTTTTATGACAAATTTTCTTGAATAAATACAATTAGTTATAGACATAATTATAGGATTCAGGTACAGAATGGTGCAGAACTGAAGATACATTGATCCCTAAATCCTAAAAGAAAAGTTATGGTTGGATTCATTATTTATATTATGATTACAATTGGTGTACCTGTTATAAAATATGCAAATACACTTGTGTCCATCTCTATATCCATACACACATATCCATTCACGTTTTGACACATAGATTTAATAAATCTATTGTACAGGCTCTTACACAATAAATAATCTTTTTTATTCTAAATTTTAGTTGCCTGAAAGTAATGCAAGGGCGCCTTCCCTAGAACTTGCTACATACAAGAACTTTGTATGACACCCTCTGCACTGAAGTAGTACATTAAAAGGATTAGAATGGTGGCTTCATTTAGTTTGACCTCTTTAAACTTTTTTTTACTGATTCTTTGGGGTTAGGATAGATGCATGTTAATGTCAGATAACTGCAGATGGTTTTGAGATTTTTAGAATGGAAAATTGAATGTTTATGATCTAGTAGCAAATTAAAGGGCTTTATTTTCTGTTATGCCTTTGCACACTGTTCAAGTAATGGTGGTGCCGATTATGTTTACATTGGGGTCGTATAAATTGGCAGTTATCTATTAACATGACTCCAAATTTCCTCATCTATTCACCCTTGGCATATAGAGTTCGCATTAACTATGTTGTGATTATGTTTACATTGAACTGTAAATTAGTATTCATCAACAGCTCTTTTGGACTTTCAATATCCGTTAAGCCTGTACCTATAATTCTAAGTTATAACTATTTTATGGTGTTGTCTATATTTTGTCATGTAAATTAGCATTCATCTGTCATGTCGATTGTAGTTCACCCATGGTATTTTCTCTCATCACAGGAAGTGCTGTTGATGAGGACAATATACATCCTAAAAAATTTGATAGGAAGAGTACAGAGGGAAAAAACCTAATTTCAAATCTCAGCGGTGACACCTCTGCACATGCCAAAATTCCCCGGACAAGTGGTGATGATAGAAATCCCCAGTTGTTTAATCCTCTTCAAAATATTTTGCACACACCACCCATGGTAAATGATCCAATCCCTCTAAAGTGTATGCCACCTGTAGGGCATAGAGATGGTCCAAGGGTGGATACAATTACAGACTCAAGGTTTGTTGAGGGCGTTCAACTGGTTCCTAGTAAACCAAGTAGAGAGCTCGGGTTCGATATAGAGGATTTGGACATCCCATGGAGTGAGCTCATTATAAAAGAGAGAATCGGTGCAGGTATTAGTAATATCATGAACATGAAGAGCTCATATGCCCTTGATGTACTTAATGCAGTTCATAAAAGTTAGTTCGAGGCTGTAAAAAATAACATTGCGCATTTGCAGGTTCTTTTGGAACTGTTCATCGCGCTGATTGGCATGGCTCTGTAAGCACCTAATCTGTTTACACTCTGCCCTCATTACTTCTTAGATAGCCATTTATTCATAATACTGATAAAATGCTGTACATTGAAGGATGTTGCTGTGAAGATTCTAATGGAACAAGATTTTCATGCCGAACGCTTTAAAGAATTTTTGAGTGAGGTACATGATGGCAGAACATTTGGACGCATTGAGATTTTAAGTACATAATTGCCGTGTACTTTCTTTGTCTTGAAATTGAGATAAGCTTCACTTCTTTTGTCTGCTAGGTTACTATAATGAAGCGCCTGCGACATCCAAATATTGTTCTCTTTATGGGTGCAGTTACCAAGCCTCCAAACTTGTCCATAGTCACGGAATATTTATCAAGGTTTTTGTAATGTCCTCTTTTTTGCACCCCTGCCCACACTGCCACCCCCACAAATAGGAACTTTCATACGTATTAGACATTTATACCATGTCAACAAATTGTTTAAAGATCTGAATTGTTGGCTGTTAATTGCAGAGGTAGCTTGTATAGGCTTTTGCATAAAGCTGGTGCAAGGGAGGCATTGGATGAGAGGCGTCGCTTGAGTATGGCATATGATGTGGTGAGTATATTAAGACTTCCTGTTCTTCTGTCGCCTCTTATTCTTCGTTTTCAGTTTTTATATTTTAGTTTCTATTCATTGTGTTCTTGTACATGATCTGAAATTTTTCACACAGGCAAAGGGAATGAATTATCTTCATAGACGCAAACCTCCCATTGTTCATCGTGATTTAAAATCTCCAAATCTGTTGGTGGACAAAAAATATACAGTGAAGGTGAGGATCCCCTACAGCATTTAGTTTGCTTATGCTTTGAGCGTTTGGAATGGACCATCAATTTTCATTTAATTGCTTTCTGAGCTTGCTGAATGATCAAACTGCTGCATGATACAGGAGTTTAAGTTTTGGTGGCATGTGCTCAACTATAAGTACTTTTATGCGTTTGAAAATGAACATGACTTAGTGCGCCAGCATTTGTTTACTTACTGCATCGTTTATACCTTTTTTCATGCCTGTTTTGTGGTTTAGGTTTGCGACTTTGGTCTTTCCCGTTTGAAGGCAAACACCTTCCTCTCCTCAAAATCAGCTGCCGGGACTGTAAGTTTTATTTTAAATTAGACAAACAACCTGGAAGTTACAATTTTATGGTGGCTTTGCTGGAAATTGAAGATTCTTCTCTATTTTCTTTAGCCTGAATGGATGGCACCAGAAGTCCTGCGTGATGAACCATCAAATGAGAAGTCAGATATTTACAGTTTTGGTGTAATATTGTGGGAACTCGCAACAATGCAACAGCCGTGGGGTAATTTAAACCCAGCGCAGGTTTGTGTTATGATGATTATGCTCTTGTAGGTTAGAAAATGGAAATAGAGATTATCTTTAGACCTGACGACTCTGAAAATGTCATGATGATATATAGCCTTTCTATTCTATGTTGCATAGGTTGTCGCAGCTGTTGGGTTTAAAAACAAAAGGCTTGAGATTCCACGTGATTTGAATCCTAATGTGGCAGCTATAATTGAGGCTTGTTGGGCCAAGTGAGTTTGAGATACTAATTCAATATTTTAAACTGAGTTTGTAAACAAATTTCCCCGTTTTCTCTAATAACAAATTCATGCTGCAGCGAACCCTGGAAACGACCTTCATTTGCTAGTATCATGGATTCTTTGACGCCGTTGATCAAAGCTCCCGTCGCTCAACCTAGTCGTGCAGATATGCCATTACTTACCTGAATGGGAACGAGTCTTATTCATGCACATAATACAGCATTCGTTAGAGAATTGATGTGTGGCGAGGATGCATGCTGTTCATAGTCTCGGGTATGGCCATTACCTTCAGTATGTATTCTTAGTTTTGGTTTGTGGTCAATTTCCTGTACATTGAACTTGTATGCATAAATTTCTGATGCTTGTTCTGTATCAACTGGTTGCAGAGCCATTGTACATTTCTTCTCTTATCGCCAATTAAGCATTTTGATTCGTTAACCTAATGAAGGAAACTATGAGTGCCAACGGTGTCTGCATCGCCGTCTCTTCTCTTCTCGCACAAGTCTACCAAAAACCGTTCTGTCTCCCCTTCTTGGGAAAGTTGTATAATTTATATTTCATAATTTTGTAAAAGAGTGTTACTAGTATCGATTACACATCTTTCCCGGCACGGTTTGCCCTTGCCTTCACAAAATGTGAAGGCTAGTCATTCAGTTAGAAGCTGGTTTCTGCTGTTGCTCCCCTAGTGAAATTGAAGAAAACGAAATTAGAAAGTGCCAAGTGCACAAATCTGTTAGGAGGCACGCCTCCGTAGCGATCCGGTCGTCGACAAATTACTATCTTTTTTTCCCTCCTCTTCTCCAAGTTTTAATATTTCGGTCACCGTTGTGTTACATTTGGATTGCAGATCTTGTTCTTATGTCAAAGTTAACCGATAAGAGATGGGTATCGGAAGGCGGGCAAGTATTAGAGAGATTTTCCGGTACGGTAACGCCGCCGATGATGACAAGCAGAGAAATCGGCAGCAAAGTTTTTCTTCTGTAATTTGCATTCCGAACTAATAAACATAATGCGATGCGTTTTTAATTCTTTTTTTTAGCTTTGATTAGACTTAAAGCAGACCAAAAAAGTCTGCAAATGGAATCCACTTTGGTCAATTTATTATTTAAATGCAGGGTGTTACATTATTATGTTCAAGCTTCCTTTGCTTTTGCTTGTTGAATTATGTGATGTATTCGTTGTACCTGACCAAAGTATTATTATAAAATTCGATCCCCCTTTTGTTTATTTGTCAATTAAATTAAATTTCAGACATTGTAATTTACCATTTTAACCATCTTGTAAGTTTCGGCCTGAGTTGGCATTGCATGTAGAGGTGACAAATCAATCTATTGGGCTGTATCAAGACCTATTTAGTTTAATTTTATGTTACACCATTACTACTATTAAGCTCACCTCAATTCCGTGACAAATTAACCTATTGGATTGTATTAAGATAATATCAAATTAAACGGGATTTAATGGTTATCCATTGATAACCTTAGATATCAAGAAAAATTCTATGTTCTGATCCGTTCATTTTGGATCTTCTACGTCGAAGTGGACCACAAAAAATTTCGTTTCTTCTTTTAAGAAATAGTAACTTATCTATTTAAACTCAATCTTATACCCAAACAAGGCCCTACTTTTTAAATTGAAGAAGTTTATTAGCATTTCTAAATGGTCATAACGTGCTTTTTTTTTTTCACTAAAAAAAGTGTATGATTACTACGGTTTAAATGCTATTTCTCTTTATTTTTAAGTGATATTTCTCTCAACTTTTAAGTAAAAAATCTTAGGTTCGAATTTTGTAAATAACAAGTATTATATCTCATTCTTGTATTAATAAAAAAGTTTTATATCCTCACTCCCTTTACAATATAAAAAGAGGTGTTTTATTTAAAAAACAATATTAAGCAGAAAATATTTTGTAAGCTCTTGTAAGTTAACCACAACCAAATTGACTCCCAAACTCTTGACAAAAAAAAAAAAAAAAAAAAAAAACTCCCAAACTAATTACATTAAAATAAGTAACTTATACCCATTTATTGGTCAAATACTTACGAGTGGTGTTATCTATACATCTCTCTTAATTTTTGACTGTTGAATTGAATGAATTAAAGGAATCAAAGAAAAGAAATTAACATAATTTGTTTCCTTTACAAGTCTCTCTCTCTCTCTTTTTTTAATTTATTTTTTTAAAATTTGTTTTCTTGGCCACTTAGTACTAGGTTTAGTAATATCTTTTCACTTGTAAGCGAGATGTTATAGGTTGATTCTCGTTAAAGACGAATTTGAACTATATTATTATGATTAGCGCAATGTGAGGTTTAGCTTCCGAACGCTAGATAATATCGTTTGTTTAAAAAAAAAAATTTTGTTTTGTTTACCAACATGGTGACGAAGCATAAATAGTCTCCTTGTCTTTAAATCAACCAATAGGACGTCGAAATGCTATCATTTGTCTCCCAAATCTAACCCTGATCAAATCCCGTATCCTGATTGGTCCTCCCCGCTCCCTTCATCCCCAAGTATTACACAGCGACCCACCGTATCATTTTCAAAAATATATACCAAACCCCACCAAAGACGCACGCACACGGCACGCGGTCCGGACAAAATATCAACGGACAAAATATCAACAGCCCACTGGGCCCCCTCCAGAACAGAACCACCATGACTGATTTTCAAAACAAGCGTAGCTCCGCGGAAACTTCCTCCCCGCCGCGCCCCCCCCCTCTCTCTCTCTCTCTCTCTCTCTCACTAGGTCGGTGCTGAAACGCTCTCAAATTGCACGGAGCCCCACATGGATCGGAGGTGGGATGTCCGAGAAGATGACTGCTACAGTAGGAAAACCTCCACCGCCTTTGACCGCTCTCTGAAACGCTCTCAAATTGCAGGGGAGCCCCACATGAATCGGAGGTGGGATGACCAAGAAGATGACTGCTACAGTAGGAAAACCTCAACCGCCTTTGACCGCTCTCTCAGGAATTTTACCGAAGACCTAGTCGGCGTAACTATTCGACCCCATTATATACTCACTCCCAAGCTCCCCAAACCCCCCCTTTTCACCCACCCACCAGAACCCACCTCTATCTCTCTTACCCAGTTCACTGCCATTGACAAAGAGTGAGAATTTCGTTACATGGACCCAAAAGACGAGAGCCACCCAAAGTCTCCACCAACTTCAGCTGGATTCGACCCGGAATCAATTGGGTTATCGGCATTTCGATCGGAAATGTCGGAACCGTTAATGGGTTCTCAGTCGATTCCTTCGTCCACTTCTCCTCTGATGGAATTCGAAGCCTTCTGTTCTGTAAACCCATTGGGTGCTTTCGACTTCACTGAAAGAGTTTCAATTCCGACATCGTCTATGGGCGGCGGCGATGCGGAGGACGTGGTTGCTCCGCCGCGGCCTCTGGAATGTTTGCAGGGCACTCCGGTGCCTCCGTTTCTGTCCAAGACTTTCGATTTGGTAGAGGACCCGTCGCTCGATCCGATCATATCGTGGGGCTCCAGCGGCGGCAGCTTCGTGGTATGGGACCCATTGGAGTTTTCCAGGCTCATCTTGCCGAGGAACTTCAAGCACAACAATTTCTCAAGTTTTGTGCGACAGCTTAATACTTATGTGGGTATCTTGCAGTAGCACAACCTGTATTGGCTGCTCTGATCTGTCTGTGAATTTTTTGTTCTTTAATTCTTTTGTTTTTTTTTTCTCTGTTTTAAAATCTGTTGTTTGTTGTCTGAATTGGGTTTGATGAGGTTAATTTTGTATAGATGTAACCAAGGCGATTAGTATTTGTATTAAGCTTGCGATGTAAGACTTTGTAGGAGTTGGTGTTGTATTCTTAACTCCCAATTTGTTGTATTTGTAGAGATTCTTATGTAATTTACCAAAATGAAATAATAAAAGGATTCATTCCATGGAATTCTTGACGATTTTATTATCGTTTTCCAATAGTTTACGCAGGTAAGTGAAAGAATGAATTACTGCTTTTATTGTTCTTGATGATGGTGACGATGATGATGATTGTTTATGATGATGATGATGATGGTTTAGGATAATGATGATGATGATGTTGTTGTTGTTGTTGATAATGATGATGGTCTCTGTGGTTCTACCTTAACGGGCATGTAATCATCTCTCAGGATAGTATAACATGCTTGTAAGGATTGTCTTTAATCATGAAACTTAGTATAGTGAAGGTAATGGAAATGTCTGCAGGTTCCTGATGTTGTTGTTGTTGTTGATAATGATGATGGTCTCTGTGGTTCTACCTTAGAGGTGTTTTTTTATTGATTTTGTAGTTAGGATCGTCCTCCGAGAAAAACATCTTCCTTTCTGACTATGTACTGGAGAGGGGAGTTCATCTTCTGCAGGTAGACGTCAGGTTCCTTTTGAAACATGTTACTGCAAAAGATTTTAAGATCTCCATATGTTAGCATCTCAACTGCTCCCCTTCCCCTACCACCACTTATTAATGCAGATTGTATTGCGAGGTTCTGCTGTTCATATGCATGAAAGTTGATGGCTTTCCATTGTCTTCTGTGATCATTTGTTTACTACTTAAATAATCGTATCTGTCTTATGAATTTGATTTCTGTACCGTTGCTTTCCCATTCATTCATGAATTATTTTGGGTATTGTATTCAGGGGTTTCGCAAGGTTGACCCAGATAAGTGGGAGTTTGTGAATGAAGCTTTCCAGAGGGGCCAAAGACATTTGTTGAAGAGGATCCAGAGACGCAAGTCACCTCAGTCTCTCCAAATCGGGGCTTCTGCGGAAGAAGGAAAATCTGGAGTGGAAGGTGAGATAGAGACGTTGCAGAAGGAGAGGAGTGTGTTAATGCAGGAGTTGGTTGAATTGCAGCAGCAGCACTGGGGCACAGTTAACCATATGAAGGTAGTGAATCAGAGGCTTCAGTCAGCGGAGCAGAGACAGAAGCAGATGTTTTCTTTCTTGGCCAAGATGCTTCAGAACCCGGCATTTATAGCCCGACTTCAAATAAAAACTAGGCGGAAATTTGTTAAGCATCAGCAGCATGAACTCGGTAAATCAGATTCCACAGCCCTGGATTCGAATCCAGTTCCTTTTGAACAATCTCCTGATTATCTTTCACAAGTTATGACAGGAAAACTGGGTTTAGGTTCAGTAAGCACGCCATTCCAATTTGCGGATCCTGCACTAGATGAATTAGCAGCAACACAAGGATTTCTCAAAACACCAGAGCAAGAGGGTGAAGGGGCATCAAGCATGGCAACCGAAGATCCTTTTTTCAAAGGGAAGAGTGTTCTGAGCCCACAACAAGAGGCTAATCCCGAGCGTTATGTCTCTTTCCAGGAGGATTTGGCGAATGAAAGGACTTTTCCGGAACTCTTTTCTCCAGGGATGGAGATCATGATCAAACAAGAAGACATATGGAGCATGGGTTTCGGTGTCAGTGCTGGTATGTCAAGTTCTAGCCATGAGTTATGGGGTAATCCGGTCAACTATGATGTGCCAGAGATGGGAGTCACGGGCGGTTTGTTAGATGTCTGGGATATCGGTCCCCTGCAAGAAGCAGGAGGCTCAGGCATTGATAAGTGGCCAGCCCATGATTCTGCATTTGATGAGCCCGAGAGTTCAGCTGGCCAGCCGAAAGAAGATGCATCTGAAACTACTGATCCATAGGGCTGCATTAGCTGCTGCCCTTTCGGATCCTAGTCATTCTTAGTTGCAGGGGTCTATTATATGGACAATATATGAATGATTATATTAATTTGATATCAAAGTTTCATTCTTTCTTTATTATCCGCTTTTATTTCTTAATCTTCGATTTCCACCGCGACAGTTGCTTGTTTTCGTAACTGTACTCGTTCATGTTGTAGGTTGCATTCCTTGTAGTTCCAGGCTGCATTAATCTCATAGTTCTGTCGCTAACAGATAACTTTGAGCTATGAAACTGCAGGTCCTTATCCTCTCGAAGCGCAGCTCGCTTCTGTCGGAGAAACGTGGCATGAGTATCGGATTGCCCATTCGAGCTCGTGGAAGTCCAGAAAGAACTGTTTTAAGTTTTAACAGGTACAGAAATTATAAGGTCAGTCTGTAAAATTTATTCTTCTTGTTGGTCTGCCAACTTTTAGCGGCACAATTTTGACTTAAATCTCTTCGACTTCATTTCTCCAGTTGGGGGTATGAATATAAGTACCGAAGAAGCGTTGTGGTGTGCGTCAGTGAAGAGGTGCTTTGAACTGCTAGCCTTTCTGAACTTACCTTCTACCTTTCGCTCACCGATTTGGAGCGCGCATGGCTCCGACTGCCGTTGTTTATTATTTCGAGGAAAACCGACCGTTCAAACTCGAAGCCGGTGAAATGTGTAGTGTAGATCGAAGATTCGGATGTCCAATGTCACTATAACAAGTACATTATTTATGTGCTATCATTTGAATAACTAAGAACTTGTTTGGATGTGCTTTTAAAATGACTAAAAGCGTTTTTGGTGCCAATATTTTTAGAAACTATCTTTAATAAAAATGCTAATAAATCCTTAAAAAACACTTAAAAATGTTTCATGGTAGAAGCACATAACTTGTGCTTCTTCTAAAAAGCACTTAAAGTTAGGGGTGGGCGAAAAAACCGCCAAACCGGAAAACAGAATCAAACCGTGACAAAAAAAAGGGTAAAAAACCACGTTGACCAAAAAAGTCAAAATCGGAACAAAAACTGAACTGAACCATTTCAAACGGTTCCGGTTTGGAAATATTAAAAATCGAACGAACCGAACCGAACTGCTTTTAATATAAATTATTGTTTTATTATTATTTTTATATAAATAAGACATTTTTTCCAATAAGACCATATGCATAAAGCCCGATATTTTTCTTCACTTCTCTTCCCCTCCTTTGTTATTTTATCACTTTTCTCCCTCTACATTATTTTTCTTCATTTTTTTCCAGTATATTATGCATTATGTATATTTTAGTTTTAGTTTAAGATCTACACTTTGGTCTTGATATGAGCCTTTCTATATTTTGATTTATATTTATATGCACATTTTTATCTTCCAGTCACAAATATTGTAGATCTAGTGGTGGAAACTCAAATTTACTTGAATTTGTGGTTGAAATATGTGTTTGGTATTATAAGTAGAAAATTAGAAAAAACATATATATAATTTTGATTAGAACCGTAAACCGGCATAAACCGAACCAAAACAATTATGAACCGAACCATATAGTTTTAGTAATAAACGGAACTGCACCAAACCAAACCAAACCAAACCGTTGAAATTTTCCAGTTCCGGTTCCATTTTGAGGGTGGAACCGCACCGAACCGGACGATGCCCATTCCTACTTAAAGTGCCTTTGAAACCCAAAAACTTTTTCTCTAAAAACGCTTTCAATCATTTTAAAAACATATCCAGACGAACAATAATTCATATTTAGTTAAATGTAGAAAGAAAACATTCCTGAAATATAACTAAAGAGAAATATTACATAACATAGCGCCAATCAAACATTGGATGGTCGAATAACGCCATCTTTCGAGTCAAAAATGCTGTCGCAGTAACTAATTTAAACACGCGGGATGGAAGCGACAATGGAAAGCAGAAGGATTACAACAGAATCTATGAAATATGGGAAGAACAAAAATCCCGAGCTCTTCGAATCCATCACACCTTCTGACTTTAATCCTTGCAAGCATTGGCCGATCAGCTGTCTGCTTGTCTAAAGAGAATCACTCGGCATCCTCAGTAGTCGTAGGATCACGGCGCTCCCTTTTAAGTTTTTTTGTTTTCTTGGGCTCAAGCATGTCTTGAACCTTTGGTGCACGCTCGTTACCTTCGTGTTTCATTCTAGCTTCACGGCGCTCCCTTTTAACTCCCTTTGTTTTGCTAGGCACAAATGTATCACCAACCTTTGTGTGATAATACACCGTATCTCCAATCTAAAAACACAGATTTCGTTAACAATAAAAGAAACGATAAACAAATGTTAAATACAAGTGCTTAAAAATTAATGCCATGCATGAATCAACCTGTGTCTAGTTAAACATGCTTAACATCAGCGGACAAGACGCAAAACAGAGAAGAAATGGTTCGGGTCATGTAAACTAAAGCTGGCCCTATAGACCAAATAACAACCGCTAAAGGAAATAATCAATTTTCTCGGTTTACCTTTTGATCCGGGATGTTGATTTTCCCAACCTTGCCCCGCAGTAGGTCCTGTTTAATATTCTTGTCCTGGAAGTAGCAAGAGGAATTGCGTTACAGACATGTCACACGCAAAAGAAATACGAGAAATCAAAAAGGGGATTTAGTAATTCAACCTTCTTGGGCTGATTTTTGCCTTCTCTCATTGCTTCTTTCCTTAGGCTTTCATTAGGAAGACGATGCCGACGAACTACTAAATCCATGGAGGGGCCAACTTCAACTAGTTCCATCCGTGGAACTACAGTGCCAGATTTTTTCAGTCGCAGTGCACACTGAGTAAGAACCACTTTCTTAGGAGATATAGCTGTACATACATATACACGGTCTAAACCGGCAAGATTTAATTTCTCTACAACCTGCACATATCATTTTTATGTATATAATATTAATATCCCTCTTAAATTCAAACACGAGTAATATCAACAAAATGGCACCAGAGATAAACCTCTCCTCGTAACAGATCAAGCAAAACTTCCTTCAAATGTTGCAGTTCTCCTGCGCTTTCAAATCCTTCTCCAATAAAGCAAACGAAAGGTTTCGTGCCCACACGTGGTGCTAGTTTCTTGTCATATGTAAATGATTCCAATGGTTTATAGTTTTCAACCCCAACCTCTATGAGATCATATATATGGTGATCATAAGTTCTCCCTATGACAAGATTGTCAGGCCGCTTCTTTGAGTGAGAGCCAAACTGCAAAATAAAAGCAATTAAATACTTAAAAGTTACATTAAAGAAATCAAGAAAATAAACACAAGCATGAGATACAGTGCCTGATCGTACTTAGGCAACACAGGGTCTCAGCATTCTAAACAGGGTGAGTCAAGAACTCGGTTCAGAAAATGGGATAAACATCAACCACCATGCATACATTTTGAAAAATGGGTAGATGTAGTTGGAACCAATAAAATTCAAGATGTAGGCTGAAGCGTTCAAGGTAAAGTCCAAATCAAAACTAAACAGGTAAAATGGAACTAACAAGTGGGAGACAAGCATCAATGGGATTCCAGCTTCCACCTTGACAGGGCGGTGCTCTGACCAATTGAACTACAATTCCAGGAAAATTAGGTATATAGCCTAAATTCGTTTAGACTTTATTTGCCCACCATCATCAAGAAGGTTGCGAAGCAAAGTCGTTTATCCAGTAAAATGGTGGCTACGGGGATAAAGTTTTTGAAGCAGGTGCACACAAGAAGACTGATAAGATCTAATCTATTAAATATCTATATAATGCTTTTAATGCTCATCCCTTAGCGCAAATCAAGGATGATAGGTAGAAATAGTATACAAATACAAATATTTTCATTGGTTGTGAGCTGCTTTTAGTTATTCTGCATTACGAATTCTGTGTCTGCAATGTCCAAACATCTGCCTAAAAACAGGTTGTTCACCTACCAAATCCATTGCAAATGTCACAAGAAGATCAAAGAGGCAGGTCCATTGTAGAAACATAAACTGAAAAATCAACGATTTCCAGAATTTTGAAAGAATATTAACAAATAGAAACCAAATATTTCTACCAGAAACGCATTTGTTTTAATGGGCAGCTCAAAGAAATAACAGAAAACAACCAAACATTCATCAATGCTAGCAATTAAACATGTAAAACTAAGCAAATGCTGCAACACTATCAAAATCCAAATAACCTTTCAAACCCCAAACAGAAAACAATTGCATTATACAGGGGCGCACACACACGCACACACATATGTACACATACGAAGCTCACATGAAATTAAATTACAGGAGGAGCAAAATGCTGAGGTAGTTTTGTACTTACGACGAAAATGCTGCAATCGGTTTTATGAGAGAAGAACTCAAGGGAAGTATCACCCCCACTTTCAAAAGGGCTAATATCTTCATTCCTGCGGCTGAATTTCACAGCACTGTCCTTCTTCAAATGGTAAAGGTCCGATAACACAGAGTTAACCACATTGCTCGTCTTCCTACCGTGAAGAATCAACGTCTTCTTCCCGGTCTCAACCTTCAAAATTATACAAAACCCACTTGAAAATCAATACAAAAATCGAAAAAAACCAATACCAAGTTGAAAATATCTGAAATTTTGCTTTCGGACACGGGAAAATATGTAATTTTCCCGAGAAACAAACAGATGAAGGGAACTTACGATCTTGGGGGCACGTTTCTCTAGCTCTCTTCTGGCCTTTCCAGTCTTGGGAGTTCTCACTTGCAACGACGTTGGCTGCGAACCCTCTGGCTCTCTTGTGGCCCTTCCTTTCTGGGGTTGCAACATGGTTGGCTGCAAAATGTAAAACCCTCTGAGAAAAACAGTTGCGGGACTTTGGAGGGGAAGCTAGGGTTTTATTCCAAAACGACGGTGACGACTATGGACTCTGATCCGATGGCATTAGGGTTTTGTGGGCTCGTTAAGCTGCTTTTCTCGGCCTTCTTCGGCCCATCAACCTTTTCTTTTATGACCCATCTTAAGCCCATTCTCCTTTTTCTCTTCTGATGCTCATAATGTTTAAAATATTGATATCGATGTAAACAACAATATACAAATATATATAGATATATTGATATCGGCTGTTTTTTAGACAAAACCTGATGGATATATCAATATCGATATTGATTTTTTTTTTTATAAAAATTTGCTAAAAATTAGAAAAATTTAAAAAATATTATATAACAATTTATCGACATTCTAAAAATATTAACAAAATTTGTTGATTTTAAACAAAATTTAAAAAGTTTTTCAAAGAAATTTCAAACAGCCCAATCAACGTCAGTGAAAAGAAAGGAAATAAAAAACCGAAGATTCTCGTCGGATCATTTTTGAAAGGATTTTGTAGATCTTTCAATCACATCTGTTCATCGTATATCGTGTGGTCAGAAATTATTGTAATTTTTATTATTTAAAATTGAATATCAACAGTACCTAACAAAAATTAACTATACAATGTAAAATAAACAAATATAATTGTAGAATTTCTGAGATCCTTACAAAGAAAATCCAACGAATCCTCTCTATACAAAAAAAACCCTTTTTTACTTTCTCGATTCATGAAAGCTCCTCCTTTTCTTTTCAAAAAAAAAAAAAAAACTCCTTTTATATATTTTTCTTGTCTTAAAAGGACCTTCCCCGCTATATATTTCCCTCACACGCAGATGCACACTCTTCTTCTCCATCGCCTTGTTCTTAATCTAACCTAATTCCCAATTCCCCAATCGTCAATCTCGGCTCCGATATTTCAATTTTGTTTTTGTTTTATTCAATTTAATTTGTATTCCTGTAAGAAGAATCAGGGCTTGTATTGATAATCATCCATGTACTTAGGGCTTTCTTATTAATTATTGTGTTGATAACTAGGCCTTTTGCTGTTAGCAGTATACAGTTTTGAATCGAATTTTTTTTACTGATGGCGGAATTGTAATCGAAGATTAGGGATTTAGGGTTAGGGTTTTGATTTCCGAGACTGTGATGGAAATGGAGAGCTCGCGTAGGCCGTTTAGCAGATCGAATGAACCAGGCTTGAAGAAGCCCCGATTGGCCGAAAACCCGAATGGCCGAGCCTTTGGTCAGAGACCCGGTGGCGGAGCTAATCCAGTGCTGTCAAGGTTCAGAGTGAGTGACAGAGACGTGGGGAGCGATGATCCGAATCGCGCGGATGGGGGCTATGTGCCGCAGCCACTGCAGCATCAGGAGCTTGTGAGCCAGTACAAGACGGCGTTGGCGGAGCTCACCTTCAATTCAAAGCCAATTATTACCAATTTGACGATAATTGCCGGCGAGAATGTCCACGCGGCGAAGTCGGTGGCGGCAACTGTATGCGGCAACATTATTGAGGTGAAACTAAGCTTTACACTGTGTATGTAGCTTTGTTTTTGTTTAATATTTGGTTATAATGCCAGTTGTTTCAGTTCGATTTGTAAAATGAAAAAGAAAGGGATGGAGGTGGGAAATGAGAATTAAAATGTGTTAATGCTCATGTCTTATGTTATGCCGATAATTTAGTGAACAAAGTTCTGTTCCGAAAGTTTGCCCCGTTAAATGTTTGTTTAATTTCTCAATGCAAATAACAAAGCTTTGTGCTGTGTGGTTGTCTAGTGTTGACTGTGAGTGGGAATGTTTGTATTCGCCAATGAGCGCATCAAAGTAATAAACATCCAGTTTCATTCTTACATTTCCAGTATGATATTGAGTTGAGGGTTTGGCTGCAGTTAACATTGGTCAGGCTTTGTACGTGTAATCAATATGTTTCTGGCAGCCTGTGCAGAATTTGTTTAATCCATTGCACACAAATGAGTCTGTATATAATTACATGAGAGAATAGTTTCGACATTCTGTGATTATATGGGTTTTGTGGAATGAGCTGTTGCAGCTTTCGAAACCAAATAAATAAATCTTATCCTTATGGCTATGGCTTTACACAGAAAATCTCTACATATAGCCATTTTTTTTCTTTATTTACAACAACATTGCAGCATTTGAAAGGGGAGGAAAACCACTTTCTTAGCCTAACAGATACTGCTATGTTTAGAAAATCAGCATTATATGTTGTGGTTGTATATAAGAACCTTATTTTACTAGAGTTTTGGGAATTTTTTTTAGACCTGATGGTAATGCCCTGCAAGACTTCGATAGCTGAATCTCTGCAGATGCATGATCTCATATGGTTTTACTCACCGGTATTTATCTTGCTGAGCATCAAAACAGACAAAACAGAGAGTACATACAAACCTCAGGTTTTTGTTAGAGCACTAAAATGATAGTGCCTGTTTCATTGACATCCTTACATTTGAAAGATGGAGGGCATATTTGACCTATTAGTGTGATTACCACCAAAATATATGTTGTGCATTACATTTATATACACTTGTATATGTCTTAATAGGTTTAGATGTTCAGTCCGTTATTTGTTCTTAGTCTTGAATTTCTCTCCTTTAGGTTTCTGATAGCATGCCTTCCTGTTCTAGCTGAGCGTATTTTCTGATTATCTGGTGCCTGGAGATGTTTGTTTAGATGTTACATTATCTATGAGTGGCAGAGTGCAGGATGTCTTGTTAGTTAGTTTTCAATGTTCTCGTAAGGCAGTGACTCAAATCCTTGTGAGACAAATTGGAATGAGAGAGCCAAGTTTTTTGAGGACACACGAGGAAACAAGTCATAAAATATAACCATAAAAATAAACGAATGAAATAAATATTACTCGCATTATTTAGTTACTGTATTTCTCCTAACGATTCTAAGTTTGCTGCCACTGGGATGGTTTAGAAGTGATGATTCGTGCAGTTGTGTTGCTTTTGATATCTTTTACATGCGTTTGAAGAGTCTAAACTGACACCAATTCTCCTTCCCCCTTCCACACTCTTGGAAACCATTGGTTCCAGGCCTTTGGTGTATTAATCGCTTATTTGTCTAAATAATATTGGCTGCATCTAGTGTATAGTATCTAATCCTAGATAGTAATCTGCAGGTTCCCAGTGAGCAGAAGTTACCATCACTTTATCTTTTGGACAGTATTGTAAAGAATATCGGAAGGGATTATATCAAATATTTTGCTGCCAGACTCCCTGAGGTTAGATTTCCTTCTTGATTCTCAGCATGCTTTTTCTAGTTAATGCAAAGCATGTTTTTTTTTACTTTTGACATGTAAGAATGCGTTGATGAACATTCAATATGAAACTGTATTAAATTTGAGCAACAATTTGTTGCCATTAGGATACAACTGTCTTTGGTATCCCTGGTGTTCAACGCTAACCCATTACCTGGTATCTTTCAAATAAAAAAGATGTTTGTCTGCACACTAAGTCCTTGCTACCTGTATTTGTCACAACCCATGGTAGACTTCACCCTTTATTTTTTACTTTGCCAATTCTTTGCCTTTTTTTAAACTTATAGGTATTCTGCAAGGCATATAGGCAGGTTGAACCTCCTATACATCAAAGCATGCGGCATCTTTTTGGAACATGGAAAGGAGTGTTTCCTGCTCAGACGCTTCAGATGATTGAGAAAGAACTCGGATTTTCTTCTACAGCAAATGGTTCATCCTCTGTAGCAGCAACATCAAGACCAGATTCGCAGTCACAACGACCAGCACATAGCATTCATGTGAATCCCAAATATTTGGAAAGGCAACGGCTTCAGCAGCCAGCAAGGGTAAGTGGAGTTCTGAAGTCCGTGGTCTATGTGGATTGTGTCCTGATCTCCTGGGATTGATGTTTCCACGATTTAGTGGTGGATTGTTAAAGTTATGCACAAATAAATAATATCATCTGAAAACTATACTCTGATGAGCTTTTTTTAACACTGGAGACTACAACGAAATCTTAGAATTCTTATATCAGGTTGTAAAACTTCTATGTTACTCTTTGTAGATAGTCAGAGAGTTCATTTGTAGAAATTGATCTTATAGTTTAGAGTTATTTTATATTTTGCAGCAGTATCTTATTTCTTTACCAGATGACTTAATATCTGAGAATATATATTTTCTTTGCTTGACTCATTTTCTTTGTACAACCTTGATTATACCATCATGTTCATTCTGAAAAGATAAGTGCTTTTACTTATTTCTTTTATGCCGGTTTTTGGTATGAAGGCAAAAGGAATGGCTAGCGACTTTTCTGGGGTTATGGCAAACTCAATTGATGATGATGCAGAGAGGCCAGCCAGAGCAGCAAGTATCAGTGCTGGACGACCATGGGTTGATCCTGCTGTTAAAATGCATGTATGTAAAGTAAAATTTGATATTATGTGTGTATTATTGTCCCTTTTTTTCCTCAGTTTCATGATATGTAACATTTGCACAATTTGCAGCGTTCCAATACAGATGCACTTAGTGATCGTGTTCATGAGGAGAACATTGGTGCTGAATATGGAGAATACGAATATGGTTCAGATCTTCACAGGAATTCAAACCCGGGAATTGGAAGAATTGGTGGGAAGATTACAGAAACACTACCCACCCAAAGAAATGGTTTTAATATCAAGCATGGACTTACAAATTACTCGTCATCTAAATCTACGAATGCTGATCCTCGCTTAAAGACAGCACCAGGCATTGCAACTAGAAACAGTGGTGGCCTGTCTAGTAGCTGGAAGAATTCTGAGGAAGAGGAGTTCATGTGGGATGATATGAACTCAAGATTAACAGATCATGGCCCTCCAGATATTTCTAGTAACTCAAGAAAAGATCACTGGGCTTCTGATGATTCAGAGAAATTGGTAAGCTCCAATTATTTGTACTGATTGAAAAATTGGGACCCTGAAGGTTGATTACCCTACTGGTTCACGTTAATTTCTCAGCCACAAAGTGTGGAGGCAGATACAGGAACCATTTTTTTTGTGCTTCAGTTTTTATTGATAGCTTGCTAATTCGCATAAGCGTTTACAGTTTACACGATGCTGACATAGTTACTGGGCTGATCCCTGTTGGGACTGATACAATGCTTTTTACTTTCAACACTTAGTGTTACCCGTTATGATGCACAAACTCACACCGCCTGTTACATTACATTATTAAGGATACTTTTTTTTTTTTTAAATCTTAATTGGAATTGCTCATATTCTCAGGGCTTTGGAGGTCAGTTTCGTAAACCAAAAGGTGGAAATGATTATGCATTAACAGCTGATATGGATACCTCTGCTAATCCTACTGAACAGAAAGACCTATCTGCTCTTGGTCAGCGAATGTCATCACCTTGGACATTGCAGGACTCTATCGGTATTGACAGGCTGACCCCTTCTGGTACTCCTGTCATTAGTTCGGTTCATTCAGAGCGTTATGCTTCAAGTTTAAGTGGGCTATCGACAAGTGGAGATTCTTCTGTGGCCAGGATGGGAAGTAGAGCACAAGTAGCGTCTTCTCGAATTGGAACGTCAAGTCTAGGGTTTAATGCAGCAGCAGGGCCTACTGGAGCTTTAGGAAAACAACAGCTTCAGTCTGTGAGAGCTGCATCACCATCTGGACAGTCATCGATGCACCAATATTCTCCCTCACCTACATCTGCAGTACATCCCCGTCATCACTCGCAAAGTTTAGCTGACCAAGACTTTGCTGAGGAACCTTTGCCAATTCCAACTCCCAATGTTAGATTGGGCAGCAAAGCAAAATCCCAGCCTCAAGATCTATCTTCGTCAATTCCTGACATCCAATCAAGGCACAAATACCCCTTTCGACAACAACCAGACAGTATAGAGTCTGAATCTTTCGGTCACACTAAGAAGCCTCATGTGCCACAGGTCTCTACTTTTTCAACTCCCTCAACTGTTGGAGATTCTATACCAGATCTTTCAAATGTCCTTGCTGCAGAATCCTCAGGACAGTTGAACACAAGTAGTTTGTTGGCTGCTGTTATGAAGACTGGAATACTCTCTGACAAATCAATTACTTGTAGCCTGCCCAATTTGAATCGTCGGGACATGGGACATATTCCATCACAGTCTGGTGTTCAGCCTCCCTTGCAAAGTGGACCCTCCCCTACCCTTGCACTCCCAGGGCCCAAGGTTGCATCAGCACCTTCATCAGGTCACCTTTCTGGTGAGAACTCGCCAGCTTCCTCAAATGTATCACAGAAGAAGGTAGCACATCTGCCAATTCCACCTAGCCAACCTCCTTCCTCTCTTGATGGCAGTGCGTCAGCAAGTTCAACTGTGGTGAGTAATGCCTCAGATCCAATTTCAAACCTTTTAAGCTCCTTAGTTGCAAAGGGTTTGATATCTGCATCAAAGTCGGAGTCACCCACTCCTGTGCCATCCCAAAAGCTGACTGAACTGCACAACAAGGGCCTAGGTGCACCTGCCTCCAAATCAGTGTCAGTATCTCCAGTTTCAGTTTCAGTCTCTCCAAGTCGTCCTGTTACATCCCAAACTGATGCGTCTCTCCCAGAACCTGTAGCTAAAACATCTGCTGCCTTACCTCAATCTACCAAGACAGAAATACAAAACCTAATAGGCATTGCCTTTAAGCCAGATATAATCCGAGAATTTCATCCAGCTGTGATAGATGAACTTTTTAATGACCTTCCATATACGTGTAGCATATGTGGCCTTAGGCTCAAACTTAAAGAACGGCTTGAGAGACATTTGGAATGGCATGCTTTGAAAAATCCCGAAGGCAGTGGTTCAGTTATGGCATCAAGGAAGTGGTATCCAGATTTAACCAGCTGGGTTGCTGGAAGGACAGTACCCCCTTTGGTACCGGAGGCCATCAATTCAATAGACGAGCCTAATGAGATGATGGATATTGATGAGCCCATAGTTCCAGCAGACGAAAACCAATGTGCATGTGTTATATGTGGTGATATTTTTGAAGATTTTTACTGTCAAGAAAGGGATGAATGGATGTTCAAAGGAGCTTCGTACATGAGTATTCCATCTGCGGCCGGTAAGATGGAAACCACAGAGGAGAGTGTTTTGAAAGGTCCCATTGTGCATGCAAATTGTACAGTGGAAAGTTCACTCTCTGATAGCCATGTTAAATTGGTAAGCTGTTGTTAATTAGCATGTGGGAAAAATAATTGTCAAATTTTCGGCCCTTCTTTTATTAGTCTTCTACCTTAAATTTTCGACTTTAGATGCTAAGATCTTACCTCTTACTTTTTGGCAGGAACCAGATGCTTAGTGCTCGAAGCTCGAAGCTGAAGAGACAAACTCCATGCATTCCAAACTCATGAGGGAAATCCAGGTTTATATAAAGGTGTTTTTAGATGTGAATCTTCAATGCCCTTTTTTCTTGTGCCACAAAATAGTGGTGAGAGCGTTCGACTAGCTTCTCCTTTACAATTTTCCTTTTGTTTAATGCATAGTTTGAGAGAAGAAGAAATACATCCGTTTGCGAGATAGTTTCCATCTCAATGATTTCTCTTATGTGGTGGATGTTTTGCTATATATGTTATGTTTTTTACCTCTCTGAAGCGGTTTTGCGCTTGGTAGAAGCATTTGTGGAGATCTTTCATCATAATTTAGTGCCATTTTTTTTTTGGCTTCTGTAGTGTTTGTTTATGATCCGTCGCGGATTGAATTGGAATGGATAAACTACTAATTGAAGGAATCTCGAAGTAATGAAAAAATTGTTTCCAACTCGAAGGTTGAAGGTGGAATGCTTGTTAGGGAAGATTAGAAGGGATTAGTTTCTTTTATGTCTGATCCCGTTCTAATCCCTCTCAAAATGAAAAATTAGTATCATCTATATGAAGATTCATCCATTACAATTCAATCTTAGCCAGCAAACGAGGTTTAATTGTTCCGCGAAAGTATTATGTTTTGCTAGAATTTTGTTACGGTGGTGACATGGCATATGTGTGGAGCCTACATATCCAATCGTATGGTGCCACCAGATGCATGAATGATGAAAACTTTTTTCTTATTTGCACATGCCAATATTTCTTACAAGGATGCCCTTTCTTACATCTCTCATCCCACTTTGAAAGATTAATCTCTCAAATCTCAATCTTTCTTTCTTGCGCTCAATAATTCAGTATTATTCCTTGCTCAATTTAACTTCATGAATTCAACCTCTTTCTGAGAATATGTTCTAAATTAATCACAAAAAAGGTTCAATGTCTAAGTGAAAGTTCTAGGATGGTACTTGTTTAACTTAGAAGGAGGTGAGTAGGTTCCAATTTAAAAAATCCAATTTAATTTTCAATTCTCAAATTAAATCCATATTCACATCACATATTAAACTATCATACTCGTATGCAATTAAAATGATAAATGAAAAGTGCACAAGGATGTAGGATTTAACAAGGCAAAACCCACCATTGGAAAATTCCTCGGGCTCCCAAGCCAGGACAAACACTAAGAGAAATGAGTACCGAAAGACTTAAAAAACTCATCAACCAGACACGCATACTAGTAGGTAGTTTTGTCTCCGTGCTTTGCTACTTGATCTTTCTTCAGCCTTCGAGTGAAAGTGGCACGACACTAACGCGACCGTCAATCACTGTCTCCTCGAACTTTGCAAGATATTAACGCGATCATGTAGAATATATGAAATGAAATGATATTTGGAAATCAACCAATTATGAAAATCACAAGACACATTTTCATAATTGATTTCGATTAAAGCACAATGAAAAATTAGTGAACAAAACTAAATTTTTCTTTAAAAGAACAAATACGTGAATACAAACTCTGATTTTTCTACCATAAACCTCACGGGAAAAATATGAATTTTCTTTTAAAAACATAGGCTTCTGATCGACATGGAAAACAAACTTTCTGCTGTTATATGAATGACGATGCTTTCAGTGCATGGTGCTGCATCATATGCAAACTACAATACATACCTTCAGAGCATGCAGCAATCTATAAGAATATATATGTATTCTAAAACATGCAGCAACAGCAAAACGAAACCCTAATGTAATCCCATATATATATATATATATATATATATATATATATATATATATAAGCTGCAGTAGGAGACTTCAAAATGACTTTAAACTCTAAATAGATGAGATAAAAATAAAAACAAAAAACATTTGAAGGTGTTGAGATAATAAGGCATAAAACTAAATTATCAAGTGACTCATCCGGATGTATATGCTAAGGTTTTGTTCACACTTAAAAGTCATGGGTTTTGATTAAATCCTAGCTATCATGTAAATAAACCCAAGTATACTCTTTTCTCTGTAGACATATCACCGTAACAATAATCATGCCAAATTTATTGATCTAATTTATTGTAGTTAATCCTAACTACATGAATGCATACGTGACAAACTTACCTGAATGGATGTCTCTGAAACGCTTGTTATTTTGGTGATTGAGAGCATGAGAGACAAACTTAGACTAAAATAATTACAATAGAAAACATGTACTAGTCTAAGACATTACAGACTTAGGCGTTTTGTTTAGGAATAGCCAATTTTATCCTAACACTAAGAATTTCTCCCAAAACAATGGCTTTTCGTTCGAATTATGACCCTCCAACAACATTTTCGCACTTCTGTTTTCACCTTCTACGCTAAAAAACTAGGAAGAGATGCATGTAAGAAAAAGAAAGTGTGAAATTCACTTTCTGACACAAAAATTCATCACAATAATGGAGGAGGAATCAGTAATTGGAAACGTTGATACCTGATATTATATTTTCTTACATGATATGATATGCTCTTGCACCAAAAAAAGAAAAACAAACAATTATTTATTATTTCTTATACAACTTATATACGAAAATCCAAAGTCTATGGCTTATGGTTTTGGGTGTAAATATAATCCAAGTGAGCTTCAGCAATCATCCTTCTCCGCAGACACTCTTCATCTTTCTCATCGCATTCTTCTGATCCCATCAGCTGTGAAGAAAATTACCACAAAAACCGAACAAATAATTAATCGAAGAAGAACATTCAAATATAATAATTAATTGATGACGAACACGCACATAAGTCATAGATAAATTAAAATGGAGGAGGGCGGGATATATATATATATATATATATCTTACATTTACAAGATCATTGCTTCCAGTTAGGGAAGCTTTGTTTTGCTGCTGAAGACGAGCACGAGCAGATGATGGGTTGGAGAGAAGAAGAAAAATAAAGACAGAAAATATGAGAAAGTTTTGGTAATTCTTCATCTGCTTCATTGTTTCTCTTCTCTATTAGCTTTTGGCTTTTGGCTTTTGGCTTTTGGCTTTTGGCTTTTGGCTTCTGGATTTTGGCTTTTGGGTGGTGAGTGTCTGTGTTCTGAGAAAAAAACGGAAGGAGAAGCAAAGCAGTGTATAAATAAGATGAATATAACTAACAAGGGTTTCACTCATAAGGATGGCCAAGCACACAGTTACAAGCAGTGCAGTTTGTGGGGTCTACCCACTTCCTTCTCTTTATTTGTTTATGCCAAGAAATAAAATTTAGGAATCTTAATATTATGGGCAAGGGTGCCAGAGAAAGGTAAGTAAAGTTATACTAACCCTCATGAGGAAGAGATAGATTGAGAATGTGAGCAACTACTAACCTGTAAGTTTAAGACATGCTTACTTATTAAGAACGAGAATTATCGTATCGAAATTATTAGATAATAGAGTTTTTGTTATTATATTTTTCTACCAATCTTTTTTATCAGGTGATTAGAGAAAGATAAATAAAGAAATTATATAAACCGTTTCATATAAGTGTTTCTCTTACTACAATAAAAGTACTTAAATAAGACATTTAGATGTAGGTGCCTCATCTTCCTACTTCACAAACCAAATAATATATACCGTTTCATACAAGTGTTTCTCTTGCTCCGGTCAACAAATTTATGAAAAAAAATAAGGCATTTAGATGTTAGGCGCCTTATCTTCCTACTTTCTAAACCAAAGAATATACACACTATATGGTAAGAGTGGGTGAGATAAAGAATTTCATTGTTTACTACATGTTTGTCATTGTCATGGCCATTGAGGTCCCAAAAAAAAACAGTAAACAAAAACAAAAAGATGCAGAAAAAGGAGAAAGAAAGAATCCCCACGACTCAATGTTGATGCTTCTCCTTTCTCTTTAGAGGCATAGATGGTAAGAGTGGGTGATATAAAGAATTTCATTGTTTACTACATGTTTGTCATTGTCATGGCCATTGAGGTCCCAAAAAAAAAAAAACAGTAAACAAAAACAAAAAGATGCAGAAAAAGGAGAAAGAAAGAATCCCCACGACTCAATGTTGATGCTTCTCCTTTCTCTTTAGAGGCATAGAAAGAATTAAAGAAAGAAAGAGAATAGCATATGTCTTCCCACCAAAGACAAAGTCATCGTCAACCATGTCAACTTTTGGAATTCCTTCCTTGACATGCACGTATGCCCTACACAGCTGTTTTCCATTTGACAATTTTTTTTTAAATTCCAAACACGTACTTGATCAAGTATTTTCTAATGTTGGAAGATATTCGATTCTTTATATATACGACGTCGATAGTACTGCAGATGAGTGTTCTTTCTCATTAGTTCTGAAAAACTGATCAAATCAATAACATTCAATATGTCGAATCATATCTTTACGTTTCACTCTAACGCGTCGAGTCTCTATATCTCATCTTAACCCGTCAAATCTTTTGTATTTTGTTTGTCTCACTGTCAAGTCCGTGGCCCCGTTCTAGCGCAATTGGTGATCTGTTTTTTTATTGTATCTTGCTACTTTGTGATCAAATCGTGAAAACAATATCTTTATAAAATAAAAATAAAATTACGTACGATAAATGTTTCTTCTAATCCTCGCAAAGAGAAAAACCTTACTGACTTGGAGTTGTCCTTTTTAGGTCCCAACAATATCGAACCAGGAGCTATATGAACACGAATAAACCCTACAGCTCAACTCAATACTGAATTCGTGGCACTGACTCGTAGATGCCTGTTTTCCTAGTTGAAGAGGAAGATGCCAAGAGAAAACAAGAATTTTCTAGCCTTAAAAAAGTTGTATTCATCATCCCCAATTGTGCTCCCACTAATTAACCTAGCTAGCTTTGTCTTTGTCATCCTACTGTGGCTACTGCCTTTTAAGCATATTCTTACTGTGATATGTTTTTTTTAATCTTGTCAAATGACGTGATGCTAATCCAACATGTTTATTAATTAATACTTTTGTGTTGTGTTTCAGTTCATCCACCACATAGTCACATACTATTTGTATTTGTAGAGGCGGACGCACTAAGGGGCAATAGGGTTAGTTAGTTCTCTCAATTCAGATGAATTTTATAGATAATTCGAGTGTAGGTTGGAGTTAACTTTCATACATGCCCTCTAACTATTTGATAATCTTAGTAGTTAGGGCATTCCTCTTTAAGTCATCACGTGTTGGCTTCAAATCTTCTTTTTACCCTTAACGTAGATTAATGTAGAATATTACTTCTAATTAAACAAAGAGTTTACAATATTTCTACTGTAAAATTATGTAGTACATACAACTTTTAAGATATCATCCCTAACACAGACCAATTCGAGTTATATGGAAGATTGACTACTCAACATTTTCTAGATGCTTACCAAAAATTAAGATGTTCAGATCAAAACTAAAAAACAAAACTAATGCTGGAACTGTTAGTCTGTATCTTTATAACTTTGTAACGTGACATAATTTTGAAAAATCCAGACAATAATCTGTCTTGATATGATCACTTTTCTAGACCTTTTACAGTTCATTGAATTGGTACAAAGAGGTGCTTCGATATTCGATGAGGTCTACTTACAATATTAGAGTCCGGAGAGCTTTTATTTCCAAATTTGAGAAAAAAATAGCCTGTATACGTTGTGATATTAATTTTAACACGTGTGATTGTGCAAATCACTAGTAAAACGTAAGTAGGATACTAGAATGTCATATTCCTTTATGATTGTATTACTTGTAAGGCAATACATCATATCCATTATACTATAAATAAAAACACTATACATAAAAAATAACGCGAATTCCTCAAACACTTCTTCATCCCCCTCTGCCACTCTCTCCCTTCAGTAAAACAGGCCATAACACTGAATAGAACTTTGGCATTGTAAATGAAATATAGCCACCGTTTTTTATTGGGATGTAATTTGCCTAAGAAAAAATAATTTAAAATATTTCAGTATGTTTTCGACAATTGACAACAAAGTTGAGATGGCCGAGTTGGTCTAAGGCGCCAGATTAAGGTTCTGGTCCGAAAGGGCGTGGGTTCAAATCCCACTCTCAACATTCAATTTTTGTTTTTTTAAAAAAAAATTTGTATCTGTTTTGGGCCCTACGGATATTTAATTATAAAAGGCCCAATACAATTTGCATTTTGTCTGGCGAATGAAGAAATCTCTTTAGGAAACTGAAAAAAAAAAAAAAATTCAAGGAGCTCAAAATCTCGATCATCTTGTAGTTTTCTGTTCTTTAATCAAATTATATTTCATCTTGGACTTTTATTTGTCTAATGTTTGGTACAGTTCTTAGCTTTGGATGGTCGACATTTTGTCGCACAAGTTTGGCTTTGGATGGTCGACATTTTGTCGCACAAGTTAAGGAAATGATTCTTTACACGCAAGGAATGTTTTGTTTTCAGAATTCAATGTTTTTAATTATGAATTGGTTGCATGCGATGTTTTTGTCTGCATTTGTGGAAATGAATTGGTTTTTTTCTTCTGAAAAATTCCATTCTTGATTCTGGATTGCAATTCATGAGTTATAGAATCAGTTGCTAACAAGTTGAATTTGAGTGATTTGCTAACTTAACACGTGAAAAGGGTGATCAATTAGTTTAACATGTTAATAAAGTGATTTGTTCACTTAACAGGTTAAATTTAAGTGACCTATTTACTTAAATGTTTGTTTTGAAACCGACTTAAATCCAATAAAACTGACCCGGTGTATATCTAGAAGCTTCTCCCTTTAAGAATAAAATACAGATCGATTGAGTCCGAATTGAGACACAGAATTGAAGGAACACAGAAAAACCGTGACCATGCCAGCTATATGCATGCGGATCCAAGTTGATACATACATATATATATATATATGTATGTATATATATATATATGTATGTATCTATGTGTGTCTGCTGGTTTGATAAAAAAAAACATTCACGGTTTTGTGAATTTTTTTATGTATTTGTAGAACCCGTGAATGTTTTGTAACAAATAGATTAGTAATATATATATATATATATATATATATAAGTGTGTGTGTATGTATGTATGTATGTATGTATGTATGTATGTATGTGTGTGTGTTGATGTATGTCTGCTGGTTTTGTAACAAATAGATAAGTAATATTAGGTGAAAGTGTGTACTGTTCATATAATATGATCGATTATTTAATCTAACTGAGCTCGATCGACTGAGCTATCTCTTTCTCGACAGGGCAGTGTTCAGATGCTGCGCAAGTGTGCAAATACCTTCAGTGCAGCAGCTGTTTGCCTTGCCGACATACATGGATAATACCAACAGCTGCTTCACAGAAACTGCTAAATATCATGATTTATTAGTCAGATGAAATATAGTTTAAAACTCTAAACCGTCAATGTTCTTGTCTTCTTCTTACCAAAAAATCTTACGCATGCAGAATAAAATCTGACTCGGTTGCCCCTTTAGCATATTCATTGTACTCATGGTTTCTCTAATCGAGGCATGCTAATATCTAATTATGCATGTCAAATTACGGATGTAAATCGTGCTATTATGTATTTTCATCTTTCATCGAGTTTTAGTTTGTCCATTAATTTAATTTTTATACATACAAATACACAAAAGTGCTCAAGCCTGAATCAATTGTTAAAGTTAACATGATACTAACCATTCTTTTGAGTATCCATACTACAACAATTAATAAAGGAGATGCTAGCAGCATTCTCATTTGTACCTTCTCAGTTCTTCATCTCATTATGCAAGTCTTTCTCGATGATTGGAATCGTCTACTTTCTAGATCACCTTTCAAAGTCAACTTTGCAAAAAATCCACCAAATCAGAAATTATTTAACTATTCGGTTAACATTATCAAAATTTTAGTGTATAAGTCAGAAACTTATTTCGTCCATTTATTGGATAACCATTATATGACTCAACAAGTTTTGATTTAGTTAGTTTTTTTTTTCATTTTTAATTTTTAATTATTTATTATCATTATTTTTTTACAACAGTGGTCTTTAAAGGGTGATATAGAAAGTAGACCGTTTCAAGTATCAAGCGAGAATACACGATAAGATACTAAGGAGACTAAATTTGCAAACTAAATGATGTGTCACACTGTCACTAATAGGAAATGATCACATTTATCAACGTTTAAGTAATAATTCAATCATTAACTTCCATGTCATTTGGCTTGGAGGCTTTTTCATGATAAACTTCCTACAGAAGATGCGCTACAACGACGTGGTATTTATTTGGCATCCATTTATTGTTTATGTCGTAATTCTGAAGAATCTACTGCTCATCTTTTCTTTGGATGTCGGATATCTAGGCAACTTTGGAGGTGGTTAGTGTAGAAAACCAAGATCCACAATTTCTAAATATCTCTCATTTATTGATTCAATGTAATAATGTTACAATGATGCAACAGTGTATATATAGACAGTACACTGCTCTTGCAATTACAATTATATCCTTGTCTAATCTATCTATTTACATAAGAAACATAACAAACATTTTAACAAACATCTAACTAATTTTACTTGACTCTTTACACCTCCTCAAGCTGAACTTGGAGGCATCGAAAGGTCCAAGAGCAAGCTTGGATTGCAAATACAGAAATCTAGATTTAGACAGAGATTTGGTATGAATATCAGCTAACTGATCTTGAGAACACACATATTGGACTTTGAGAAGATTAGCAAGGACCAACTCTCGGATATAATGATAATCAAGTTCAATATGCTTGGTTCGAGCATGAAAGACTGGATTGGATGCAAGGGATATGGCAGACAGATTGTCACACCAGAGAGAAGGGACTTGAGGAAGATGAAGGCCGAGATCTTTGAACGATCTGTATTCTGCTTCAGTTGATGAACGAGCAACCGTGGGTTGCTTCTTAGCACTCCAGCTAATAAGATTGGATCCCAGAAATATGCAATAGCCACTAGTAGATCGGCGATCAAATGGACAGCCAGCCCAATCAGCATCAGAATAGGCAGTAAGATGAATAATACCTTTCTTGAACCACAAACCATGACTCACTGTGGCTTTGAGGAATCGGAGAATACTTTTGGTTGCTTGAAGATGTGGTTCTCGGAGAGCATGCATAAATTGACAGACTTGATTTACAACAAAAGATAAATCAGGTCGTGTCCAAGTTAAGTATTGCAATGCACCTACAATAGATCTGTATTCTGTTGGATCAGGTAACAATGGACCGGTGTGATCGAGTTTGATAGATCCAAGATGAGTGAGGCATGGGTTAGCACCATCCATGCGAGTCTTGTGAAGTAAGTCAAAAATATACTTGCTTTGATGTAAGCAAAGACCAGTAGCAGATCTCTGAACCTCAAGACCCAAAAAATAATGCAAGGGGCCCAAATCCTTCACAGGGAAAATAGTACTTAGTTTCTGAATGAAACTTTGACAAGCTGCAGGATTCGGACTTGTGACAAGTATGTCATCGACATACACCAAGACAATAACAGGAACAGATTCTTGGAGCACAAATAAAGAAGCATCAGATTGAGATTGATGGAATCCCAAGAACTTAAGGATTGCAAATAATTTGTCAAACCAGGCCCGAGGGGCTTGTTTCAATCCATACAAGGATTTGTGAAGCTTGCAGACATGATTAGGATAATTTGGATCACTGAAGCCAGGAGGGTACTGCATGTAGACATCTTCTTGAAGGTCACCGTGTAGAAAAGCATTACTGATATCCAATTGATTTAGAAACCAGTCCTATTGGACTGCAAGAGATAGAAGAATTCGAATGGTGACGGGTTTTGCAATAGGATTGAATGTTTCCCTGTAATCCAAACCAGCTTGTTGATGAAATCCTTTGGCCACAAGCCGAGCTTTGTATCGATCTATAATGCCATTTGGATGTTTCTTAACTCGAAACACCCACTTACATCTAACAATATTTTGTTGGGAGGTAAAAGGAACAAGAGACCAAGTGCCGGTTGACTGCAAGGCATTGAATTCATCCTGCATAGCAGACCTCCAATGGGCATGTTTTGAAGCCTGAAGATAAGTAGTGGAGATAATATCAACCGTATCTGGTAAAGGGTATTTGGTGGCTGAGTAGGCTTTGGGTTTAGAGATGCCAGCTTTAGACCTAGTGATCATAGAATGGGTATTAGTAACTGAAGAATGCTCATGAGGTACTGGAAGATCCTCTTGAGGTACTGGAACATCAACAATTACTGGAGGATTCACTTGAGGTACTGGAACATCAACATGTACTGGAAGATTCACCTGAGGTACTGTTAAATTACCAGATTGAGCAGCAGGTATTGTGAATTGCAAATTGATAGACGAATTCACTTGAGAAGTATTAGGAAGAACATTAAATGCAACAGGAAAGGCATATGATATACTCTGAAATGGAAAATTAGTCTCATCAAATATTACGTGCCGAGAGATATAGACTCGTTGTGTAACTGGATCAAGACAACGATACCCCTTGTGTTGAAGACTATACCCAAGGAAAACACATGATGCACTTTTGCTGGCCAACTTGGATGTAGTATAGGGTTTGAGCCATGGATAACAACAACAACCAAAAATTCTGAGGCGAGAATAATCTGGAGAAGTGCCAAAGAGGAGTTCCTAAGGGGATTGCAGTACACCACCAAGGGGAAGTCGATTGGCTTCAACCCAAAACATATGAGGCACTTGAGATTACACTAAGAGTGTACGAGCAGTTTCAACCAAATGACGATATTTCCGTTCAACACATCCATTTTGCTCAGGAGTATGAGGACAACTAAACTGTTGTAAAATGCCATGAAATTTAAGATAATTCTGAAATTGATGACTAGTAAACTCACCCCCTAAATCAGAGCGAACAACCTTTATTTTATTACCAATAACGTTCTCTACATAGGACTTGTATTCCCCAAAAGTTGAAAATACAGAGAACTTGGACTTTAAGGGAAAATACCAGTTATACTTGCTGTAATCATCAACAATAAGCAAGTAATATCTATAACCACTCACTGGTACAACAAGAGATGGCCCCCAGACATCACAGTGCAACAGTTCTAGCCGTTTAGTAGATACAGATTGAGGAGTACAAAAAGGAAGCTTGTGATTCTTTGCTAAAGCACAGTCTTTACAGAAGAAGGCCAGAGAGGATTTGCCTTGGACAACAACTTTATTGGTAGACAAAACTTTACGAAAAATAGCAGAAGATGGATAACCAAGTTTGTTGTGCCTATGCGAACATTAGCAGAAGTACTTACAAGTGCAGTAGGAGAAGGAGGGACGTTGGAGAGAGCAGGTGAACTATGAAGCGGAAAGAATCCATCTTTAACTTGGCCCCGCAAAAGCGTCATCCCCGTAAAACGATCCTTGACAGAGGATCCATGAATATCAAGAGTCAAAGAACAATCATTATCTTTAATAAACTGATAAGCAGAGAGAAGACTATGTTTCATTTGAAGCACATGAAGAACATTTTGCAGTTTAAAAGAGTGAGCAGGAGTATGCAAAATAGATGTGCCAATATGATCTATAGACAGACCTCTACCATCTCCGATGTACACCTTGTCTTCACCATGGTAGGGAGTAGGAGATTGGATGTTTGATATATCATTCGTAATGTGAGAGGTAGCACCCAAGTCTATGAGCCAAGAATTGGAGGACTTTGCAGTATAATGAGCACACATGGCAGCAAGTTTAGCTGGAAGAAACTTGCTTGAGATTTCTGGATTCATTCTGTCGAAGCAATCAAGAGCTTCATGACTAGTAGAGCCACAAATTTGACAAGGAGTTTTGTGACCTGAAGAAGAAGCACGACGATTGAATCTAGAGTTATAAGATCCTCGAGTGAAACCAGAGTTGAAATTACCACGATTGGAACCACGATTGTAGCTGCGATTAGAACCACGATTAAAGCCTCGGTTAGAACCACGAGTGTAGCCTCTGTTAGAATTATACCGAAAGGAATTCTGAAGTGGTAATGCTCCAGGATTTTGAGCAACAAGAGCTTGTGGTGGTGTAGGAAGGAGAAGCGCTTGGCTTTGCACAGAGAATGCATGAAAAGGCTCAGAAGAGGAAGATTTCTTGCGATGCTCCATTGATAACTCATTGGTGAGCAACAGGCCATGTAATTCATCCAACGAGGTAGAAGAAAGGCAAAGTAAGATAGAATCAGTGAAGGATTCAAAATCATCAGTGAGACCTACAAGAGTCGCGGCAATGAGATCATGATCGGTGACAGATGCACCAACTGCAGTGAGAGAATCTTAGATCTCCTTGATTTGTTGAAGATAGTCAGCCATGGATTGAGAGCCTTTCTGAATATTTTGAAACTTCGAACGTAATTGATGAATGTGTGCATCCGAGACACCACTAAAACGCTGCTCAAGTTTGAGCCAGAGATCACGAGCGAAGGAAACACCGACTGTGAATGGAATGATTTCCTCAGAGAACATCGATTTGAACCAGATAAGCAGATTCTGATCTTTCTCGTACCATTGCTCCAAGTGTGGATTGAGGGAGCGATCTGGATGAAAGGGAGATGGACAGGGCTCAGTGCCATCAACAATCCCTAGAAGCTTGTAGCGACGAAGAATCGGAGCAAACAAGGCTCGCCACGGCAGATAATTGGATCGCCGGAGCTTGATCGGAACCATACTGCCAATGTTCTGAATTGTGAGAGAATTATACATCTGAGAGGTATTGAGATTTGGGGAAGAGAAATTAGGGTTTGAAGGAGGCACCGACTCAATTGGAAAAGAAGAAGCAGAGGGAGATGCCATCAAGATTCAAGAAAAAGAAATCAAGAATCTGAATCGGAGTATAACAGCAACTCAAACAATCATGTCGGAGAAGACGATCAGAGATGAGCGGAAGATTGAAGAAGAAAATTGTAGGATCGAAGAGGCCGTGAGGCAGTTTGGCGATGCTACCATGTAGAAAACCAAGATCCACAGTTTCTAAATATCTCTCATTTATTGATTCAATGTAATAATGTTACAGTGATGCAGCAATGTATATATAGACAGTACACTGCTCTTGCAATTACAATTATATCCTTGTCTAATCTATCTATTTACATAAGAAACATAACAAACATTTTAACAAACATCTAACTAATTTTACTTGACTCTTTAGTTAGCATGTTAATTTGGTATATCTTTACCTCTTCTAGATTCTTTGGTTGCTTTTTGGTATATATATGTTCGTAAGCCATTTTCCAAACAATTTCACAATCTATGGATTTTTGTGGGTCTTTCTATTTCAGCTATTTGGAAGGCTCGAAATAAATTTATTTTTTAGGGTCGTCTAATCTATTTTCATCGACTTTGCAGCTCTATCAATTCGGCGATTGTTCATAGTAGGAAGTTTATTCCTGGTTATTCTCAGGGTTTTGACACTCGGATCATTTCTTTTTTGGGGATCCAACCTATCCCTCCCAAGGCACCTACTATTCTTCATGTCCTTTGGTCTCCTCCTTGGTTTCCTTGGGTTAAGCTTAATACAGATGGTTTGTCTAGAGGAAATCCCGGTCCTGCTGCATGTGGAGGAGTTTTCAGGAATTGTCATGGTCGTTTTCTTGGTGGTTTCTGTCAACGGATTGGTCATTGCAACTCTTTTTTTGCAGAGTTATCAGCAATTATTATTGGTATTGAGTTTGCTTATCAGCGGGGTTGGCATTGTCTTTGGTTGGAAAATGATAGTTCTAGTGTTATTTATGCTCTTCAATCGTCTGATTTTGATCATCTTTGGCCTCTTCATACGCAATGGTCTATTTGTTTGGATCGCATTCGGAAAATGACTTTCTACGCATCTCACATATATCGCGAAGGAAATCTTGTTACGGACAATTTTGCTTACATGGGCTTGTCTTCTCCATCTTTAACATGGCATGATTCTCCTCTAATGGCGGTTCGTGCTGCTCTATTTTCTAACTATGTTGGCTTGCCTGGTTATCGCTTCTCAAATTAATGTGCATGTTGGCATCTAGGTTTGTCTCACTTTCTTTTTTGTTTTTCTCCTAACTTTATGGTGTTGTTTGACTTGTTTTGCAGGTTTAGACCTTCATGTTTGGTTCTAGAGGGGTTAGGTTTCATGCCCCCCCCTCTTTTCTTTGTATCATTCTCGTTTTGTTTCTAGAAGGGTAAGGTTTATGCCCCCCTTCTTTCTAGTGTATTCCTTTTTGTTATCTCTGTTTTTTGAGGGGTAAGGTTTATGTCCCCCCTGACCAGGTGTAATTTGTTTTTTCGTTATCAATAAAATTACCCTCATACCGTAGAGGTTTTCCCAAAAAAAGAAAAAAAAAAGTTTACAAAATTTAGTCTACAAAGTTAGTCTCTCTTGCATTACTCTAAGTAAAAGTCCAAATAAGAGAGTTGCACATTCGTCAATAAAGAAACGTGAGGCCATCACCACCATGTGTGCACGTGCGGTGAGCCGGACTTAGATAATCAATTAGGTATATAGGCAAAAGTCAAGATCTAGTTCGCATGCTCTCTACTCTTGGAGAAAAGCAAGGCCTTGTTCTTTGAAGAAACGGCTGAGACGTGCCATGGTCATCGTTCAAGACCTTAAGAAAGAATAGAAGATCAAAGCAGAGGAGCAGAGAGGAGAAAAATGGCGTAAATATATATATGTAGGGTGAAGGGTCAAAAGAGTGATCGAAATCTTGGAAGGAGAAAGAATGATACAGACATATCAAATGGCTTTGAATTGAAGAGATATGCATGGTAGGGTTAGTGTATCTTTTGATTCGTTGAATCAATATACATACATATATATATTCATAAATTATATGTGTAAATATTATATATATGTATATGTTTATGTAATTAAATGTATTCTGCAATTAGGTCAAACAACATGCAACCATATATTAATGGTAATATTGAAAATTCTTGAATGGAGGTTGAGTTCTTCCCATTTCATTTTGGATAGAAGTCAACCCTTGATTCAATGCATTATTGTAAATGTCAAACCTAGCGCCCACCTGATGATGGTATCTTTAATTTCAATATGTGCACCTTCTTCTGGATGAATCAAATTCATTGACATCTTGCAGGAAACATTGAATTGAGATTTTTTGGTATACTCCGGGGTATTTTTTAGTTTTAGTGGTTTTAACTGTTAAATTTTTTGTTAAGGATATAAAAATTAAAACTAACGATAAAAAATCCTGACGTATATAATACTCCGGAGCACTACAATTTCGACATTGACCATTCAAGAACCTAAATCCTATTTATACATAGTTACACACACATTTATATGTGTCTTTCTTTATTGGTTATAATGGAAAAGAATCCAATTCTTGACATCATTTGTCTTTAAAGCTTATACTCGATAGAACTTGTCAATCAATGTCTTAAAAAAAAACTAAAACTTTGGCGGCGAGTGCCCCAACTCAATAGAACTTGTCACCCAGCTTACGTGAGAAAGCATCTCCTCACTGAAAATTTTCTGAAGTATCCTTACAAGCGAAATAATAAAAAAAACGTTAAAATGAAATAAATGTAAAAGGGGTGGTTGATTTGATTTTTTAGAAAGATCTCACATGAATAATGTTGGGACATAAAGTATTTTCACTTGTTAGAGCATGACATGTGAATTATCAACTTAATATGACGGTTCTGTCATTGACGGACCATGCAGACATTATCCATACCTCAATGGGCTTACAAGCCTCTATTCCGCAGAGCACCCAAGAAGTCCACATTCATTAGTCCTCAAGGCCCATCTTGCCGCCAAACGGCCTTAACGCGGACTACCTTGATATAATATCGATCCGCTTATCAGTCCCTGCACTTATTGAGAACGTTTGAAGCATAATCGAGACGTTTGGGGGAGCATCATTTGCAATAACCTTGCAGAATGCTTCCGCATTGGTGTTGTAGACAAGCTACCATCTACTCCAAGATTCAACGAACCTGAACGCTAGGGTTTACTCCTTGTTTGCCTATAAATAGCCAAGCCTCTATCCCTTTTTTAGGTTAATTTATCTCTAGCTACACTTATACAAACCTAAAATTCTCTCCTCACTTAAGTATCAAAGGCTCTGTGACAAACACCACACCGGTGTTACTTTGTTTAGTCATAACTCCCTTAGTCTCTTTGATTTTGTATTGCAGGTTCTCGTCAATTCAATCCCGATAAAAATTTGCACAAACAAATAAGTTCGTTCATCATTGGTTTGATTCAATTCAATGATGTTGGCATTGGATGAGGATGGCACGCATATATATAGGCTACCTTCATATGCGTATGTATAGCTTATTCAAAGTGCTGCCGATAGAAAGTAGCCAACCTCAGAAAACATTTTTAGAACTTCAACACTTTTCTTATAGATGCCAACTCTCTCCTACTTTGAAAATGGTTATCTCCAACTCCCTCACAAGTCATAAAACAGTTGTATCGGAATAGCAAAGAACAAACAAAGAAAAACAATATGTCGTTCTCAATAATCAACACCAAATCTGCCAAAAACAAAAAACAAAAAAAATAGTAACACCAAATTAGTTGACTAATTATTAACATGCTAATTGTTGCCCACTATTAAGGTACGTATGTATAAAGAAATGCATTAAAAATGATGAAAGAAAAATCTACACTTTATATATAGTGTTGTGAAATTTTTCTTAATACAAGAAATTAATACTAAAGACAAATGGTATGACACATCCCGACTGAAGTCGAGACATGTTGGCCGTCACGTGAGGGTGACGTAGCCAAGAGCGAAACAGAAGTGATAGTTAAAAGAAAATGCAAGTAAATAAAAACCCTAAGACTAAACTTATTCCACTAGAGATATTATAAGTGTGTGAAAGTGACCAAGTATAATTTACACAAATATCAGAGCATTGGTAAACAAAAGTGCAGTTGAACCAACTAAGTACTAATTATACAAACAAGGAGAAGATCCCTACTTATTTATGAAGATGTCAGAACCGCCAGGAGAATCCTCGCCACCAAAGATGATAAGCTACCTAGAACCTGGAGGGGCGCAAAACAGAAAACGTGAGTGGGCAAAAACAAAGCTTTTGAAAACATAGCTGTCTTTATGAAAATACTAACCCCTCACTGTAAAAGCCGTATAATTTCCCAGAAAATAATAACACGTAAGTACATAAAGATAATGCAAAACAAAGACCATGTCAAGATATTCAACCATAAAATGTGTAAGCCAGGTGATACTAATCAATGTAAAATAGTATGCCAGGTGGAGTCGCCTAATGTGACTTGTATGGCTAAATCTATAGCTCATCAAGTATGTCTGCACACGAGTTGGAACCACCTATTGTGGTCAGTACGACAAGGTTGGGTGTAAAAATAAGTACGCTTAAGTGTTACGATTACGTTAAGGTTGTACGAATAATTACGGGTCACCTACAAGTCGGAACCACCTATTGTGATCTGTACGACAGGGTTGTGCACCAAACTTGGATCCAAGGTGAGCGTGCGGTGTGGGAGGTGAACTTCAAGTGAAGGACTATGCCCTAGCCACGGGCGGGAGCACTAACACTGGGGTGCAAGATAGTGAGCTCATAATATAACCACTTGTAACCATACACAACGCAACTAATACCATCATGATGTACTCACCTGAAGCTTACCTGAGCTTCTGCAGCCTCATCCAATACTATGCATAGCTATACTAATGCAATACTAACACATAATGCACACATGACATGGCATTTAAAACAATTTATGGGAATCGTAAGCATATATACATATATAGAAAACAAAAGCCCACTCACTGGTAAGTAGCAAGATCGTAGCCCCCAAGTCTTGCCTGACCATACTCGTCCTCAGGGAACGTCTCACCTATATACGAAATAACTAATTTTACATTAATTTTAAAGCACATACAAAAACCTTAGGAATAACTTCCCATACGTTACTCAAATGGGGTGTTTGAATATACCAACGTGATCTACTTAACAGCACGAACACCCCCATATTTTTAGAAAAAAATTTGGAGGTCACATGTGCCTGGCACACTGACGGAATCCCTAACGGCATTAGGGAATATTCCGTTAAATCATAGCATATTTTGTTAAAGTTACCTGACGCCGTTAGAATATTCCGTTAAAATTAACAGAATATTCCCTTTCCTTCTCCGATGACTCGCTGGAAACTGCCGCTGGCCGCCGTCTGTGTCGTTGGTTTCTGGAAAATTTTCTAAAGCTTATAACTACTTTATTTCTCAACCAAAATTCATGAATTTTAAATGGATTTGAAGCTCTTGAAGAATAGAACACAACCATACCTATTTGAGGTCTTAAAACCAATGCAAAACGGTCGGGATAATTCTTAGAAAAATCGCCCAACTCTACAATCCCACGATCGTGCTTATTCCGAATTCTAAACTTCTTCAAAACTAATCTAAAATGCTAGGGAAGTCGAGTGGGTACCTTGCTAAGCCTTAGAACCTTAAAATCACGTCGGGATTGTGACGGAGCAAACTTCACCTAGCCGGAGGTTATAGTTTCTCAAGTTCCCGTGATCCGTTCTTCGAACTAAGGGTACGGTTAGACTCGTGAGGTCACAAGGAACACGATGGTGACAAGTTTATTCTCGATATGAGGTGTTTTGATGAAGGTAGGTGTGTGTGTGTGTGTGTGTGAGGGTTTTGGGATGTACGGACAAAGAAGGATCGAGAAAGGAGGAGAGGATGAAAGTGTGCAAGTGTGTGTATGTGTTTGATCACGGATTGGCCAGAAAAAGAGAGAAAATATTAGTTGGTCCAAAAGAAATAATAACCAAATTTGATTGGGCTAGAAGTTATAGGAGCTAAGGTGATTGGTGGGTAACGTATAGCCAACCCAAAAACATATTTCTACCCAATCTCGATCTTTAATTGTCGTAACTTTTCCGTTAGAAAACCGATTCGACCCTAACTCACGTCAACGCGCTCGTGACGTTGAGTACGATTTAATTACAATGGTAGAAATAATAATTTAAAACTACATATGTACATCCACGTCACTAAACCACGAGGGCATTACCGTCCTTTTACACACTTGGGGAGAAAAATATATAATAATTCGAGATGGGTCGTCACATGGTAGATTAGTTTGATGAACAAGGCATTCCTTTTTAATGCAATGTGTTTCAAGTTTAAATTTTCTCCTTTGCCTTAGTGTAAATATTGCTTGCAATAGCCACTTAATACTACGGTCTAGTGGTATTCTTCTTCGCTTGTAAGTGAGAGATCTTAGATTCGATTCTCACTAAAGGCGAACTTGAACCACATTATTGCTAGCCCATTGTGGGGCTAAACCTACCTCCTCCCCCTAAGTGTAGATAATATCGTTTGTTAAAAAAAAATTGCTTGCAATAAAAAAACATTCAAAAATTTCTGATTTTTTGTACTTAATTACTCAAATTATATATTTTGTAATCAATTTTTGTGTTTTATTGTTAGTTTTATATATACTTTGGTCACTGTTTTTATATTGAATGGCAACTATTATTAGCATTACAAAAGTCTCATTCTACACTCCTCATAAGTGTATTTTTTTCTTTCTAATTATAGAAAGTTTGGAGTGCCGAATGAGATTTTTTAGTGCTAATAACAATTCCCAATTGAATATACACTTATATATTACAAAAATAGGTGTACTAGTTAGTATTCTAAAAATCCCCGCCTAGGAGCTAGGCTGCTGGCCACCGCCCCAATTAATGCCTAGGCGTTTGAAATTAAAAAAAGAGCACCTAGACCTGCTGAGGCGCCTGCCTAGACCGCCTAGGCACCCGCCTAGGTTGCATCTCACTCAAGCAGGAGATTGATAACTTTCATTTTGCATTTTATTTTTTTATTAAATTGTAAGAGACTTGTTGAATACTTAAAAGAACACACATTATATACTTGTTCTCCGTGTTTTCATTGTGTTCTAATACTACATAATTTATATGTAATTTATTTTGTAGTTTATGATGAAATTATATATATTTTTAGTATAAACAGACACTTATTACATGAAATATAATAGATTCAGTTAAATCCGTTTAGGCCACAGCCCGTTGCTCGACTGGCGCCTAGCGTCTTTTAGAACATTGGTACTACTATAGCACAAAATTAATTAAACTTATACCTGGCCAAATTAAAAAAATAAAATAAAAAATTGTATGCACGAAAAAGTTATAGAATATTTAAAAAAAAAATTGAAAATATGAAATTCCAAATATATGTTCCGAAATTTTAGAGATTACTCCGCTTCTGAAGTTTTCAAATATGCCTAAAATTTTGAATTTAAAAATTGTGATCAAATCCAATCCCATCCAATCCAATTTGGAAATTTTGAAACTGAAATTGGAAACCTTGTTTCCCATCCTTCCATAAAACACCCCTAAATAAAACTATAAGCCTCTATCTTGCATGTATAAGGGGACTTTAACCAAAAATATTTAAGGTACATTACTGTATAATACACATTGTTAAATTTAACGGTTGAATATGTGATGTATATTTTTTCACAATATGTAAGAGGTGAATTTGAGTCACTTAAAAATAGATGTATAGTAGAAAAAATTGATGACTTACATTCAAAACTAATTACATGAATGTATAAATTATGATATACATTGTTAAATTTAACAGTTGAATATGTAATGTATATTTTTCATTATATTTAACCGGTGAATCTGAACCGCTTAAAAATGGATGTATAGTAGAAAGAGTTGACCTTTACATTCAAAACTAATGCAATGGTTGTTTTAAAAGTATGGAAACCCTTCGCACAGTAACTCAGCACTTCAAACAAACAAACTATAAGAATCAGAGCAGAATTGGTGTCGAAGATTTGCAATTGTAAACAATGTTGCAAGTTGCAAACAGTCATGCTATGTTATAATAATATTTGAGTTTTGCAACTGAAAAATATTGTTATATATGAGCTGCTACTGCCCTTTTGTTTCCCTCCCATGGCTGCTTTTGTTCCGTAGTCGTATCTCTCTCTCTCTGTGATATTCATTTCCACTATGGAAACGTTCACCAACTTAGTGACTCGCCTAAGTTCACCTCAGCTTCTATTTCTCACTCATTGTATTACTCACATCACAACCTTGCGCCGCCGCTGCCCAAGCGGAGCTTCCCAGAGGCTTCAAAGCCACTCCGGACCCTTCAATCCAAACCTTCCAACCTCTGCTTACCGACCCAACCGGCAACTTTTCACTGGGTTTCCTCCGAGTCAACAAAACCCAACTCGCTCTGGCCCTCCTCCACGTGCCATCCTCCGACCCGCTTTGGCTCGCCAACCCGGCCCAACTCGCCCGCTGGTCCGACCGCACAACCCTCCTCTTCAACGGTAGCCTAGTCCTCTCAGATCCCCAGTCGAAGGTATTCTGGTCAACTCACTCTAAAATCGACGATCGGGTTGCAGTCCTCGACACCTCTAACGTCCAAATCCAAATGACTCAGGACACCGTTCTATGACAGAGTTTTGCCTTTCCAACAAATACCTTCGTCGAGAATCAGAATTTCACATCGACCATGAAGCTTGTCTCATCGAACGGCCTATACTCAATGCGATTGGGGAACAATTTCATGGGTCTGTTCGCCAAGTTCAAACCGGGTTCAAACGCAGACCAAATGTACTGGAAACGCAAAGCCATGGAAGCCAATGCCAAAGTCATTGAAGGAAAATGACCTATTTACGCCCGTGTTGATTCGAACGGGTTCATCGGAATGTACCAAACCGGGAACCCAACTTCGGTCGACATCCAAGCGTTCATGACCTTTCCAAGGCTAATCAACGGCCTCCGTAAGGTCCAGTTGGAAGCGGACAGAAACCTCAAGGCGTATTACTGGGACGGTTCCAACTGGGTTTTGGATTTCCAGACGATTGCTGCCACGTGCGAGCTTCCCAGTCCATGTTGTTCGTTCGGTTTGTGTAGGGCCGGGAATGGTTCGTGTTCGTGTTTGAATAACCAAACGGAGTTCCATTCCGGTGAGTGTTTTCCGGTTCAAACCGGCGACTTCTGCGGTTCCGGATGGCGGGAAATTAAAAGCTTCCGGGTTTTAAGGAAGAACGCCATGGAGCCGCCGTACAAGGAGTTGATGGAGTATAAAACGATGTCGTCTTATGGTGAATGTGAAGGAACTTGTGAAAGGAACTGTAGCTGTTGGGGCGCGGTGTACAATAACGGGTCCGGGTTTTTTTACTTGATGGATTACCCGATCCAGAGTTTGGTGGGCGTTGGGGATGAGAGTAAGATGGGTTATTTTAAGGTGCGGGAGGGTGCAGGGAGGAAGAAAATAAATGTGGGTGTGGGGATTGGGATTGGGGTGGTTTGTGTGGCGATTTTGATATTTGTTGGGGTGGTGAGGGTTTGGAGGTTTAGGGTGTGGAAAAGGAAGAGAGGAGGAAGCGGGGGGAAGAGGTTCATGGGTCAAGATGGTGGGGCTTCGCCCGGCCCGTACAAGGATCTCGGGTCCGCAAGCTTTAGGTCCATTGAGATGGGTAGGCAAAATGGTTAGGATTTGTTTGAGCAATGCTTCTAGAGCAATTATTTGACAAATAAAAGCACTTCTAACTATATTTGACGAAAAAAAAGTAAACAACTTTAAATCATAACATCATAGCAAAAGTATTTACGAGCAAAAGTACTGCATCTCCAAACGAGGCGTTAGGCAATGACGTATGGAATGACATTTTTGTTGTTTGGGGCCTTTGGAGGATAGAGTTTGACCGACATTGATGTTGATCACCAACTCTTTTGTGTTTGTGATGGTGGGGGTCCAAGACTTAATCTTTGTATTTAAATTTGTATGACATATATGATTGGGTGGAGCCTGCCTAATCCCATTGCTAATGTATTAGTATTTCATAGTGACATTGTATTGAGATTAGTGCGCCTTCAAGGGCTTTGCATCGATGATCAACATTAAGTAATGGTAGAATATAGTATGCTATTTGGTCATTCTCCATATTGGTTTACATAGTTGTGACTAATCATATGGACTTTAGTATGCTAGTTATAGGCTTATTAGGGTTTCTTTAATCTGTTCGTGGGTTGCATTATAGAAGCATTGAGCACTATATAAGGTAGACGTACCTATGCATACTACTATCACAATCACAAACTCTATAACTCCCCTTGAGTTTGTGACCAAGGAGCAAGAGTGCAGAGAAGTGCCTTTACTCACTCTAGTCCTCGTGTATGTATTCTCTCTGCAAGGTCAAGATGTCTTCTTCTCCAAGTAAGTGATTATAGTGTTTTGATCAGTATAAAACATATTAAAGCTTACAGTACCACGTCATGTATACTCGTCAGTCATCTCAGAATCTTCCATTAAGATAACGGATAATCGAGTGTGTTGTAAATCCGCAAGGATAATGCAAACCCACATCATCCACCGGGAAGTTCAAGTTTTTAATATTTGAGGTTCTAGAACTTATTGTAAAAATATGGATTTCATTGGCACTATTATGCCTGCAAATGACGCAATGGATGACATTTTATAGATTGTGATCCGACACTAAAAATCCAAAAACTTTAAAGAAAATAGTTAGGTAGCATAAACATGGACATGGATTCTTTCCAAATCTAGTTGTCTTAATCAAGCAAGTCAAATCATCCGAGCCATTGAAAATTGATCCAACGGCTACAAACAGGAGCCTACTTTAAAAGTTTTTTTTTTAAGGAAGCATTGTATTGATAACTAAACTCAATCAGAGTTACATATGTCTTGGAGGCGTTGTATTGATAACTAAACTCAATCAGAGTTACATATGTCTTGGAGAAGGAGCTCCTGAATAAGCGTAGGAGGCTCCTCAACCCAAACTAGATTATTGCTACTAGATAAAGCAAACTTAGCAAGTCGATGGGCAACCGCATTACATAACCTATAAGCATGAATGAAAATAAACCCTAAGAAAGTGGACACCAATTGCAACACGTCCCGCGAAATCATACCTTACGACGATGAATCTGCACAAGTTCCATTGAGAACTGCAATCACCTTCAATGTATCACTTTTGACCACAACCTGCTAAAATCCTTGTGCTTGAGCTACCTACAGACCAAACTATACCGCAAACATCTCCAACAACGCCATGAAAGTGATCCCTAGAAACTTGTGCTCTCCAGTCGCTAAAAAACCACCCCTTCAATCCCGCAATACCACTCCCACACCCCCATATTTGTATGACTCATCACCGCTCCATCCGTATTAAGCTTGACCCACAATTGACTAGGAGGAGACCATCGAGAAGGAGCCTGCACAACTACCCTAGCAGACTCCCAATTTGTAGTCTGGAAAGCCGATAGCCACGCAGAGACCTTCTGCCATACGACCATAAGTAAAGCTTTGGAACCCCTTCATACCCATGAATTCCTTTCTTTCCAAATGCCCCATATTATCATACACGCCAACTCAAAGTCCACCTCTTTCTTTTCCAACACCGAAAGTAACCAATCCTTAAGATGTATACGCATAGTCCCGACCGACCGAAGGCTAAATGGAGAAATGAACCACACTGCTCTAGCAAACGGACATGTTAACAACACATGTGCAGCTGTTTCCTCCTCCCTTTGACACACCCCACACTCTATCTCCACCCCCACCCTTTCCTTCGAAGATTGACTTTGGTCGGAAGTATATCATGGCATACCCTATAGGTGAAATTCTTAACTTTGGGAGGGATATGAGCCTTCCAAAGCTTCTCATATGCATTGCCATTAGTAGAGTATGACACACTACTATTCACCGATTGAAGCCATTGTCGAGCTACCCTATACCCACTCTTCACTGAATACAAACCCCGCTCATCATAATGCCACACCAATCTATACCTCAGGGCACAAAAACTAATAGGCATAGATAGCACCAAAGTTACTTCCTGCGGGCTAAATAATTTCGATAACAAATCAATACGCCAAACTCGTGTAGAAGTATCAATAAGTTCCTCAACCTTCATTTGAGATAACCTTGAAAGTACTAGGCCGAGGCACCCACCTGTCCAACCACACCTTAACTGTCTGCCCATCTCCCACCACCCATCTCGATCCGCCAACCAAAACCTTTTTCGCCTTCATAATACTTTGCCAACAATACAAAGCAGATCCAATAACTTTCGCATCCCAGAAGGAAGAATTGGGGAAAACCGAGCCTTGAGAACTCGCACCACCAATGACATGGGTTGATGGAATACCCGCCACCCTTGCTTAGCCAACACCACTATATTGAAAGCATATAGGTCCCGAAACCCACCTTCAGCTTTGGGTTTACACATCTTGTCCCAATACCACCAATGGATTTTCCGATCCTCTGAGCCATTCCCTTGCCAAAACCGCGCCATGAGTTGATTTAACTCATCACAAAATGCCTTTGGGAGTACAAAATAATTCATCGCATAAGAAGGAAAAGTCTGAGCAACAACCTTGATAAGAAGCTCATTTCACGCGATACTCAAAAGCTTACTCTTCCACTGATTAAGCCTTTACGTCACCTGCTCCTAATAAAAGAAAAGGTTTGTTTTTTATTCCTCCCAATATAAGTCGGTAACCCTAAATACCTCTCATGCCATTCCACCATTTTCACACCGAGGAATCCTACCAATAGTTGTTGATCATATTGACACACATTCGCAATAAATGCGACACTACTCTTCCCAAAGTTCACCAATTGTCTCAAAGCTAAAAAGGTAGATATCCAAAATATGTTGAATCACTGCACATTCATCCACATTCGCTTTCCCAAATAGGAAACTATCGTCGGGGAACAATAAGTGATGAACCGTGGGTGCACCCTTACACAACCAAATACCACTTAACTCCCGTACTTGTTATTTTTGAGCAATAAGGGTCGAAAGGCCTTCAACACACAAAAGGAACAAATACGGTGATAGAGGGTCCCTTTGCCTGAGACCTCGGGAAGGAATCACATAACCACACGGCTGCCCATTAATTAGAAAATAGTATGACACTAATTTAACCCATGCCATCACAATTTTTATCCACTCCCTAGCAAACCCCAACTTCTCTATCATGGCTTCCAAAAAACACCATTCAACTATATCATAAGCTTTACTAAGATCAAGCTTAAGAGCAAAAACACCATCTATACTTGTCCTTTTATTATGCAAATAATGCCCAATCTCTGCCTCCACCAACGAATTATCAAATATTAATCTTCTTGGCATAAACGCACTCTGATTTGGCGAGATAATCGAAGACATCATGCATTTGAGCCTGTTAGCAATCACCTTGGCATCAATTTTGTATCAAACATTACACAAACTAATGGGTTGTAATTGAGACATATCTTGTGGCTTATTCATCTTAGGGACTAAACAAACATGAGTATAGCTTACTTCTTAACTTAGGTGTCCAGTTTGCAAAAAGGATCGCACTGCGTCCACCATCTCCGGACCAACAATATGCCAAAAACGCTGATAGAAGAATGGAGACATGCCATCCGGCCCTAGAGACTTAGATGGATGCATTTGAAACATAGCCACCTTAATTTCCTCCGTAGAATGAGGTTGCGTCAACATCTCGTTCATTTTCAGAGTAACTTTCTGTGAAACAGCCCCCAACACCTCCTGGAAGACATTGGTTAGAACCCTTTGAGTCCGGAAAATACGCCTAAAATACTCAATGTTAATTCCCTAAAATACGCCTAAGGGTTCTAAATTGAGTCCAGAAAATACGCCTAAAATACCCCCAACACCTCCTGGAAGACATTGTTTAGAACCCTTTGGTGTGTGGTATGATCCGTCTAAAATACACCTAAGGGTTTGGTTATCAACCATCGTGTCCTTAATTCCCTTAGGCGGATCATACCACACACCATCTTCTCCCCACAAACCTTTAATTATGTTCTTTCTCCTCATGTTCGAAGAACGAGTATGGAAGAACTTCGTGTTCCAATCTCCTTCCTTCATCCACTGAGTTCTCACCCTCTGCCGCCAAAAGGTTTCTTCATGCCCAAGTAAATTATCTAACTTGATCATTAGCACTCCTCTCCGATCATATAGGTTCGACGAATGAGGATGATCAAACAAAATCCCCAATTTATCTCTAACCTTCGCAATCTCTAACTTCGTATTCCTAAAAGTATTACACTGCCAATCTAACAAAGCCACCCTAGTGGCTCTAATTTTATCACATACACGGGTCAAATGTGCACCCCACCGCTCCACACTCCATGCATCCGCAATGGTATTCTCACAACTCGCATCCTGTAACCACATCTCCTCAAAACGGAACCAACAAGATTTCCAAGAAATACCACCACCGAATCTCGAATCTCCACCATAATAGGTAAATGGTTTGATTTAGAAAGATTGAGGTGACACACTCGAGAGTGAGGGAAAAAATGCATCCACGGCTAGGTAGCTAGAGCACGGTCAAGACAACAACGTACCTCATCATCCCTATTATCAGTCCATGTGTACTCACTGCCAATAAAACCTAAAATCCACCAATCCATAATCATGCACCGCCTCCCGAAACCCATTCATCTGACTATCTCTTTTTCCAACCCCTCCAAGTTGTTTGGACGCACTCAACATCTCATTGAAGTCCCCGACATATAACCATGGAAGCGAGCTTTGCCTACTTAACGGTGACAACAACACCCACGACAAATGACAGTCTGCTGTATTCTGAAAGCCATAAAAACCTGTGAATCTCCACCACGTAGAAGAGCCCTCAATCCTGCACTCCATATCAATATGATTTGGCAAAGAACATCTCACCACCACCTCTACCTCATCATTCCATAACAAACATAAACCCCCCGACCATCCGTTACTCGCCACTATAACCGCATTTTGAAATCCCAAACCACATTTCTTAAACTCCATAGCATGAACACTGCATTTGGTTTCATAAAGGAAAACCAAAATGGGATGTTGCCGCTGGATGATTTCTAGCAATGCCTGAACTGCTCGAAAGTCCCCTAA